TCGTCGATTTAAACGCTCCTCTACGTTTCTTCTTTCTTCGAGGATAATCCATCCTCTTCGCGATCTTTCCCCCCGGTTCTCGTTTAATTCACCTTTCACACCGTTGGAAACGTGGATCCCCGAGAAACTTGTGAAGTCTGTCGAACAGAAACAATAAAAGTGGACGTTGAATTCGCGTGTCGTGAGGACGTTAATCGTTTCTGCGCGGGGCCCTGGCGTTTCCGGGCACGCCAGTGGATCCCTCCATTCATGCTCTTCATTCACCCTCGAAATTACGAGGCGCGTGTGGATTGCCAGGGGGGGAGGGGAACGAGAGAGCGAGAGAGAATCTGCGAATGGCGTCGCCCTTCTGAAAGGCATCGCGCTACAAAGGGGAAAACAGAAGAGAAGAGACGCCGAGGAAGAAGAAAACGATGAAGAAGAAAGGCGTGAGGCGGATCGGGGAGAGTCGATTCACCCATCCGAACGCGACTCATTGTTCCATCGGCGAAATTGCGGCGATGCGTGCGTGCAAAACTCGCCTTCTTAAACAGATTTCCTTCGTTCGGTAGTTCGTCGGATGAATGGGTTGGACGAGGATGAATGGGGAAAATAACGACGGGGACGATAGAGGCGAGAACGCGAGCAGGATGAACGAAATTGTCGGTGATGTGCATTGAAACCGTCGTCGAAAGACACGGGTAACACCGTTGAGAGATTGACGAACCGTGGATGGTCCTTTGGTAAATTACTGGGAACAAGCTTCACGCTCCTACGTACAATGGTTTCATGAACATTCGTCCCCAGTGCTTTCTCACGTTTCAACCGTCCAGAGTGTCACGGAATCTCACCTTTGCAGGGGAAAATCTTGCGTCCATTTTTCGTGAAAGGAGTTTCTTCATCCTTGGATGAATATTTCTTTCCCAGGGAGATAGAATCGTTGAAAGTTTCTTCGGAGAACGACGATTGTGAATAATTGATTTAGCGAGTAGGCTAGCGAGAGGACTGGTAGCCGGTTGCTCGCGATCCCGGAGTCATCGAGGAGAAACACTATCCTCGGGACAGGATACTCCGGTGTATAAGAAGAAATCGCTGATGGTAAGCGATACGCGAGGCAACAAGAGTTTCCTGGCCGCTCGTATGCGTAAGACTTCTCTCTCTGGACGGAACGTTATGCAGGGTTTACACGAGTGTGCACTGCTCCGCGATATGTGTCATATACACGGCACGGTTAGCGTGTGTCGACATTCGTGTCGAGCAGGAATATCGAGACGACGCAATATCGACTTACGTTACACGACCAAACGAGCATCTATCTCGGTGGGAAACGAAGCCCCACGGCTTCGTCTGTTCGACGCTCGTTCTTAACGTTTCGCTCTCCTTTTCGACTACGCGACGTCCACTTCTGCTCGACAATTTCACGTTTTTAACCAGAGAAAAGCCTAAGTTCAAAGTTAGAACGTGTCCTTTTCACAAAAATTCGTCTTAGTTCCAAAGCATCGAGGATGAAGTATTTTCAGAGGAAGCTAAGAGGTAGTACTTGAAATACTTTCGAAATTCTCGAAGCAACCCAAAAGCTAGGTAACCGAAACGTGTCAAGGACAAGAAGTTCCCTGGTATTCCCGAGACGCTCCAAGTATCCAAAACTCCTCTGCTACCCTGGATTATTTCCCCAAAGAAGTACATTCATGGATGTATACATCTGGACGATCGATAGAGGAGGAAGAAGAAGAAGACGAGGTGGATCGAAAGCGGGTAGCGGTAGCGCGAAGCTGAGTGTGGGGCAGAGAGCCGAGTTAGGTGGGAGAGAAACCGAGAAACGACGAAATGACGGCGGTCGATGGACGGTTCGTTAAGTAGATGGCTGGTCGGGGGACTAAGCACCAAAACCACCTCACTGTGGTTTCACACCCGCAGAGCGACGGACAGAGATCCACAGAGGGAAGGAGAGGGAGAGACACGGAGAGAAGGAAGTAGTAAACAACTCCTGGAGTTCCTTTGGTCAGGACTAGCGCGTTCCTTCGGTCAGGATCGACGCGAATTTCTCGAAAGGCTGCTCCTAGAGAGAAACGGTGATCAACGGCGTGACGATCAATGAAGAGGAGTGGACGATGGGAAAGGATCGTTGATCCGCGATATACACTTTGTCCTTGCTCCCTGTTGCTGGCTCTCCTGACGTTTGCGGTTGAAACGATCAAACTATGAAATGTTTCCGAGTATCAGAGATGGGATAAGCTATTTTTACCTAAAGTGGTCGGTTCGCATGGAATCTTGCTCGTTGAGAGAAACACGAAGAATCTTTATTCTTTTTGGATGAGAATATTGAGATTCGAGGTGGAGTAAAGCTGTGAAAATTAGCGTGGAAGTGTGAGGTTTGCTAATTGAAAGAAAGTTGAGAAAAGGGGAGATGTATGGAGGTGATAGGCTCGGTCAAGGGATTTCTCCGTGGTTCATAGAACTAGCCACCTCTCCGTGTTCCCTGAAGAGGCTCGAAACGGACTATTATCCAACAGATGGCCGAGCCATGCTGGTGTGCCTTTGTTTTGTTACCGTTGTTCCGGTAATTGCGGCAAATACACGACCATTTTCGGTAATCACCCGCACGCCCCCATCCCCACGGCGGTCCCCTTTGAGAATTCCGAAACGGCCTCGACCTTCCACGGCCGGTAGGCGTAACGACAGTTTTGCCAGGGGACCCTCCACCTCCGCGACCTCGACCTCATCTCCGGATCGAGGGCCTTCCTTCGGGATCGAAGGATTAGCGACAAGGAAGTCCCGTGGTACTTCAGCTTCTGAAACCGTAGATAGGTATACTATGCGTTGCTGGCAATAAGATTGCTAGTACTACTAAATTTATATTACTTTTTTATGTACTAGTTGTTGGGTATAGATTTTTTAATCAATGAATTGTTTATCTTAATAATTTTGTAACGTGCTTTGAAATTTTTTTCGTATCAACTTTAGCTAACTAAGCTTAGAACTATTTATCTTGTATTATCAATCTCGTATACTTTTTATTTCACTTTTTCGGAGCAGATTTCTTATTTCGTTGTTACTAAAGGATACAAAATCCTGTAAAAGTGTTATAGGAATTGTATCATCTTCTCAGCAGCGCACTACTTGTTAACTTCAATTTTAATGAATTTTGAACTTTGAGATTGTCCATCTCCATACGAACGAAATTGTAATAATCGAGAAGCTTAATTTACCAAGTCGTAATGCTCACCTGTACAGTTCGCGATTCGTCTAATGCACCGCGGAAGCCGTAAACGTCCCTAGCCATTCTATGAACGACACTCCTAATGCAACAAAGTAAAATACAGAAAACGTTCTTAAAGAGGCTGCCAAGTCATTGGCAGCCTTACCAGCTTGAATAATCCGACTCGTGGAGAGTCTAAAGGCCTGTCCATAGGTTTACGAGGGAATTAGCAACCGTTAATTACAAAACCGCCGTCTGTTTCTTGCTCGTAGCAGCCCCTCATAAGCCGTGTAGCAGGATTACGAACCGTGGAGGTTCGAAGTCAATGGCGAAACCTGAGATTTATCGGCCATTAAAATCGACGGTTTTCTAATCAATTCTCTATGCGACTTCCCCGCGCCTTGACCCGAAAGCTGCCGCCTTTTGCTTTCCATTAGCGCTGTGAAATATAGGTTTCTCGCCTGGTGAACGTGATAAAAAGGATCTAGTTCGTAAGGAAATCGAGGCGAATCTCTGTAAAATTCGACTTTATCCTGTGACTGGAAGCGATCTGCTTCATTGAGTCAGTTGTTTTCACTCGAAGGAGGATTTCTTAAACAGAAACTCTTTGTCAATTCTTCGCAAAGTGAGGAAATTCGCACGAAGGATTTTTCCTCCTTCGAAATCCTGTTGCAAGCCACTGCGGTGTTACTTTTTCAATATGTTAAAGTTCAGGTGTCTAAATTATTTAAACGAAGAATAGGACAAATGTCGAGGTGAACGAGTTTCTCGACGAATTTTCAACGCGTCGTTCCCACGAAGGATGATTTTTCGCTCAAGTTTTGCGAAGATCTGATAAACAGAGATCGTAAAATTTCGAAACTGCAGGCTTCCCCGTGGTTTCTTGGAAGCGTCTCGACGACAAGCACGCCCTTGAACAACCGTGTTTTGTCATCAACTGTCGACGATCCGTCGAGAATGACCAATGTTCCGGGCTTTCCGCCGCGTATCCTCGCTACGAAACGTTTCTAAGTCATCTCGTATGCACCTCCACGTTCGTGAGACATTGTAAACTCGGGTTCTATGAACTCTTTGATTGACTTATTAATCGCTACTTCCACATCATCCTACCTGATACTTTGCTACCTTTTTTCAACGAGATAAACGTACACCAAGTGTAACGCGACAAGTGTCGAATCGGTGCTAGAATTGTCAAAACTAACGCGACATGTGTCGAATCGAAGCGAGAATTCGTGAAAAATTTCAAGATCTCGATCTTTCGGTGCATTCTCGATCGTTCAAGCGTAGGTATATACGTTGTTTCATAATCAACCGGTGTTCGAGGATATCGCGGTGTAAAAAGTTTCGCCGAATCATCGGTGAGTCAGCGTTAAACGTTTTCCTCTCTGTTTCCGTAACTTTTACTCGTCGGTAGGTACTTGGAAATTCATTAGACGTCCGACGGATGTCGCGAACTCTGCGATAAATATTTCACGAGATGATAATTAATATGGGACAATTACCAGCGACTTCGGTTACAGAAAACTCCGTTATGAAATTTCTCGGAATCCTATTGATAATTCAGAAAGAAGTAACATCAGGTGTGAATAATGGTAAACGGCGATACACACGTTTAAACTTCCTTCACGCTTCGGTTAGACGTGATTCACTGCGATTAGTCTGATTAAATTACTCACAGAGAACACCGTTACGTTCCTCGCGAGCAAGTCAGTTGCTTCACGAGTCTCTATTTAAGAATCCACCCAGAAGGTTTACGCTAGAAATTTTTATTCACTTCGTCGAAGAACAGTTTCTTCATAGATCGCGATGATTCACGTTGCAGATACGAGTACAGGAACGGCAGAATGGACCTACTCGTCGACAGCATCGTCTTATCCAGCGCCTCCGGTAAGCAGCGGTGGTCCCTTTTCACCGATTCCCGGTGGAGCGTTCTCTTATCCAGGGGAATCACTTTCTCATCATCCGACCACGGAACCAGTACCACTTCCCACAGGTAAGTGGCTGAGAATTGTGAAAACTAGGAAATTTCTGTCACGTATGGACACTCGAGTGACGCAGTCGCTCTTCGAGGAAGACGTTCTTCCTCTTTTTTGTGACGTAATCGACCGATCCTGGAATTTTTGTTACTCCGAATGCTTCCAAATTAGCTGTGTATTGTAATCAGTAGAATAAGATTGTCCGAGCATTTCTAGACAATTGTTTCATCAATCTGCGATGTGTTTAACCTTGGACACTCTTCCAATCGTGTTCCTAGCTTAACAGAATTGCCTACTACTTCCATATTCCACTAATTACTATAAGTCTGTGTCTCTAACTTTGGACCGTATAAACTTTAGAAACTCTAGACCATAAAAAGTGTTGAAATTCCAAGAGACTTCCTTGGTTGGAATTAGCAAAAATTGCACAGTTGAAAACTACCAACTTCCAGCCTAAGACACCCGTTTCGTAGGATCTCCTCGCTCCAGCCAAGCTTCCACATCCTTCTCGCTTCATCTCCAACTCACCAAGCCTCAATTACAGCCGAAATATCTCTTCGTGTCTTGCAGTGCTTCCGTCGGACAGCCAACAGGACACCTACACGCCTAACTGCGTGTCCATGTACCCTAGCCACGGGACACCGTCTTCGTCACTTCCACTGGTACCAAGTAAATCCAACGATCCGGATATCTTCGCCGGCGGCGGGACAGGCAGCGGAAGTCCCGGCTACCATTACGGTTCCTGGACCTCAGGGCCGGCAACTCCGGTCCCTGTTGCCTCTCACAACTACAACCCGAACTACCAAGGTTACTACAACAATCCAAGCCAGAACTACATCAGTCCAGCGCCCATGGTCCTCTATCCTCAACTCTACAGCACCGTGAACCAGAACCAGATTCATCTACACCTTCACGGAGATCTCAGCGAGGAACAGGTCACCATAGCTGGTAGCAATCTGACCATAAGCAGTAACAGGCTGGAGATTGGCGTGATGGGCGAAGAGAGCGAGCAGAGGAACGACGTATGGAGACCTTATTGAAAGGATGATTGCACAGGTCTCAGTGATTTGGATGTATCAGTCGAAGGGCAGTTTGAATAGACTCTATAGGGAACTTAAGAGAGAGATGCGAACTGTACCGGTGTTATAAATGTGATATCGATGATCGTTGCAAGGTAGTTAGGAAGGAAGGAAGAGAGTTTAGGTGTATTAGATCCTCGGATCCTCAGAGTTAGGTACCTTGGTGTAATTTCAAGTTGATAAAGATCCTGTTGGTGGATCAGTGATGGTTTCGTAGATACAGTGACTGAGTAACGTGGTGGACAGGTAGTGTGAGAAAGGTGTTGGACACTGTCGGATCGAGGCAAAAAGAAATAAAAGAAGCGTCGAGAAGGAGCGTGTAAACTCGGTTGTAAACTGAGAATAACCGGAACGCGTGTGTCCGTAGAGTGGGAAGATAGTCATGTAACATTGTAAATACAGATATTTTCCATGAAATAAAATCTCGCCTGAACAGGTTCCTGCAGATCCCCCAGTTCCACCAGATCCGCGACGAAGAAGAGATTCGATGCGAATAAATGTCTTGGTCGGTGAAATATCGACTGTTCTGAAACTGAATAGGAAGTAAACGATGATTAACGATGGAATGTTTAACCTCGTTCGTTAGAAATACGTAGCAAAACGGAGAGAGAGGCTAATGAATAGTTCTTTTTACGGGGTAGTTGGAGTAGAAAAATCTTTATCTGACAACGTGCTAGCGACCACAGAGGCGCGGTTCTCTTTTTCCCTGGGGCGCACAGGGCCGCGGATAATCCTTTTTACGAGCTCGCCGAGCTCTATTTAATATTTAAAGCGCGCGCTGGAAATGACGAACGGATGGATAGTTGCGGTCTGAACCGTCGCTCCACACTGTACCGCCTCCCTTTATTAGCAATCCACCCTGCTTTGTCCCTGTTTCGCTTCCGCCTCGCAGCAAATCTCCGGCAAAATTAAGATGAAATCTCTCGGCCGTTCGACGAGATATCTTTTTACTTCGACAAGTATAGCTAAAACTGACCTTAATATTACTTTGACCGTCTAATCGAGGAGTGAAGAGCAGAGAATTTGAGAATTTTCAACAGTTCTGAAGGATTGTAGAGTGAAATGATCGATAGGATTGGTAGAAAGTGACTTAAACATTGTGCCTCGAGAGAAATTGCTAGGTGACAGAGAAGTAGCTGCGTAATGAGTAGTTTGAAAGGATTTTTGCCAATGTTTCATTAGTTTCTCTGTTACTTTTAAGAATACATGGAAATATCGACTTCTTTTTCTGCGGAGATGCTATAAAATTGAAGTAAAAATATGGAACGACTTGGAAGACGACTGTGAGACTGTGCGTGGAGTTTGTTAAAAGAAACGCGCGGTGTTCCAGCGTTCGTCATGTTCCATAGGAGACAGCACGCTTTCCAGCGACTTCCTCTTCGCTGATGTTTACAACCTCGGCGAATGGGAGAGGAATAAAAGCATGGAATAAGCCGAGGCGACCGTCGCTCGTAAGCTTCCCTCTTTACGAGGATGACTCGACCGCAGACAAGACTCTCCCGCCCTTTCCTGTGCCCGTTAAAACGAACCAAAATGCGCGACGTCTCGCTGCAAATCGTCCACACCTTCGATACTTCTCGAAATCTTGGCTTAAAGCCTTCTCTCGAGGAATCGACGTTGAACGCATCTCCAGGCTCTTTGGAAGCTTGCAATTATTGAAAATTCAAACGTTTTGCAACTTTGGACATTTTTCTTTTTAAGTTTTGATAAGAATTTGTCGGAATTTTGTTTAGCGAAAAGTGTCGATCTTTTCATTTTGAAATTTGAAATTTTTTAAAATTTAGGTGGAGATGTGATCTTGTTTTCAATTTAATGCAAAAGCGTTTCACATAGGGATGGGAAGGAGTTTTATCAAATACAAGAGAAACTGGATGCAGCGTCACTTTAATTTTCTATAAGAAATATTCTGCGTCCAACATGCTCGGTCTCGCTATCGTCAATTCGCTCGTACAACTTTTATTAACTGGGTATAATCGAACGTCTCACGCTCGTTACATCTCTTACCTATCTACCGTGCTCGATTTGCACAGCTTTCGATTAAAAATACTGTCCGTTAATCGTCCTGTGTCTCTAACATAAGGGAATCGTTCAATTACTTTATTTTCTTTCTTTGGAATAAATTTCTCGTTTTCTTCTATGGCTTCAAAAGAGAAACGAAAAAGAGGACAAAACAAGACAGGGTCTACGTAGGCACGTTTTATTATCAATTAGTAATCCCTCCATATTTTCTTTTTTTTTTCTTCATTTGTTTTTGGTTTTTTGTTCACTTTAAACGACCTTTTTGACGCTTAACAGCACTTTACAACACACAGTGGAATATTATTTGAGGACAGAATGGAAAATTGCGGGAGGACTCGCGGGACAATGGCTGGGTTTTGTTTCTTCGTTTATACAACAGTCGTTAATTGTTCCTTTCTCACTCTCGTCACCTAACTTACAAACGATTATTACAAAATATATGTATAATATATATCGAAGCGACAAACGAAACTGAAGAACCATTTGACGACTAGTCGTTGGCTAAACATCGCAACGTAGAAATTAACAGTAAAATTATCTCTAACCACGTTTTGGGCCAGCTGCTGACGAGCAACTATTTACAATAAAATATTTCACTCTCCTTCTTCGTTTTCACGCCAAAAATCAGAAAGCTCTCTAACTCTTCGTAAATTCTCTTATTTCTCTTCTTTCGCTCTAGGCAAGTTTCATCTAAGTTCCAAATTCAACGTCGATAATTCTTTAACTCTTAATCACCTAACGCAAGTCTCCTTTTTTCTTGCCGTCTCCGATATCTGACTAAAAGTGACAAAAAAATTCATTGATCAACCTAAGTACGTACTTCAGAGAGTAAATCCAAGGTGAAACAGGATTCTAACGAGGAATATATCTAGATCTACTTTCTGAAGTAATTTCCAACAAGTTCCCTAGTGCGTTCTTCTCTTTTTTCTCTTTTCTACGAAAGAAACAGAAGTTTACTACGATTCCGTCGAAAATATCGAGAAATCGCTAGGCAATCTTGTGGCAGCTGACGAAAGTTCGTGACGCGTGTGCTCTGTTCGCGACGCTGGCAGGCAGAACCCATTCGACTCTGCGACTGGACCGCAAACTACAGTTAAGCGCAAAGAGCATAAAATGAGAATCGAGAGATGTGCGTGCAGAGTGGATCGTAAATAAAATCCTTGTCTCTCCGTGTCAACGCGACGGTAAACTAGGGATAGGCGAGGCCTCCTCTGTGAAAACGGGACACCGTTTCTTTCCTGTCGTTAGAAAACCGAGATTTAGACTATTGCCTGTCGTCGGCATATTTCCATCATTCTCGATCAGTCAGGAATCCTCTTGGTAAAGTTGGACAGACGATAGACGGTCCTTAATGTTCTCGATACTCTTCGATCGAAGAGCATTCGCTTGGTGAAATTGTCGTAATTCATCAGCAGTCCTGTGAAATTTCATAGTTTTCCTGGAAGCAATCTCCAGATGACAACGATCGTAGAAGCTCGTCTTTAAGATAGATTAGTGTAAAATTCGTCGTTCATTGACCCTGATCAACAGTCTGTCTTATTGAAAACGCGTGTATAGAAACATTGAAACTTCTCAGTGTCCCCGAGAAAAGAAAGGATCACAGGACTTCAGAAAGATTTGTGAAGATACATCTGTTCCCAGATGTATTGAAGCTGTTCCTAATTGCTCGTCAACCCGTACAACACCGCGATTCGATGGAAAAGAGCCGACAATCGTTGCTTGAGGACCTGGTCGACCGCATGCCTGGTGAGCATCCTGACGCCACTCACGAAAACAGGAAGCAGCGGCGTCAGTTGATCATCCTGTGAACAGTTTTCGATAAGATAAAGAATATCCTGAAAAATATTTACCACTTACCGACAGGGCCAGTGTCCAGTCCAAAACGGTGCTCAACATCTCTGCCCAAGCTTTCCTATGAGCTTCGCTGTCCTTGCACACGTTAGCCTTCCTCTGATAAGCAGATTCCTGGCTCGGTATCTCTCGAGACGCGACAAAAGACTCGTCCTCGACTTTCTTTAAAAACGGATTCGTCCTGAATCCCCTCTTGCTTCTCTCGTAATCACGCAACAATTCGTCGATATTGTCGAAAACCTTCGACGAGTCGCTCTCCTCTTTCTCCTCGATCTTCGACGAGATCCGCGGAGACAGATCGAGATCGTTCGAGGAGCTGGACGCAGTGGAAGCAGTCTTTCTCATCTCCATCACGGATCGACATCTGAAGCTGTTCGAGCTGAATCTCACGAATCTCTCGGAATCGTCGTTCTCGGTCGACTCGACGAATCTCAGGGAATTCTTTCTCATTAGCAAACAAGCGTCGCTTCTTCGTCGTTGCAGCTTCAATCTTTGGAAAGTGTTCAGCTCGTCGTAGCTGCTGTTCGTTCCCTTCATCTCCAACACGGAAGTACCGAACGAGTCGACAGACTCTGTTCTCCGGAGAGAATTAAGATTGTAGTACAGGTTATCGTGATCATTGATTATTCGAAAAGGAGCCGGAGTGATGGTGTACTTTTCGTCGATGTATCCTTCGCTGGAGGTTCCACCAGATCTGTCAGGGTACACACACTTCTCTGTGACCGATCCAATCCTGGAAGCAGGCCTGGAGTCGTCTGTTTCTGGTTCAGATTGGGGGCCAGAGTCAGTAGAATATTCCACCGCCAGGTCAGACAGTCTGAAAAGCCTTGGATCGTCTTCACACTCTACTCCAAGCTCGTCGAGTCCGCAATCGTCGTCCAAATTAGGATTGTAGTCCTCTATATCCCCTATATCTTGATTCTCCAGATCCTCGGAATCCTCGGACAGTTCCATCGGAGCTGGAGTAGCTATAGCTCTGTCGTTAATCACTTCTTTGCTCGTGATCTCTGGAAAATCGTCCGGCTGAGCTACCAGTAAGAATATCTTCCTCTCAGAGAAACTGTCCACTTTAGTGTGCCTTCCATCTTCGTCCAAAACCACGTCTACGTAGCTCTCGCAGAGTTCTTCGAACGTGGATCTCAACTGTCTGAGATATCTCGATAATTTTTGAAATTCGGGACTCTTCAGGCTCTCTCTGCCTCCGAGATTCGACGTTAAAATCATCTTCACGGTGTCCAGAGTAGCCTCCGTCTCTGCTATCTCGTGCAAACAGAGCTCGAACAGAGTGACTATCTTTATGGTCCAAGCTACTCCAGCCTGGCGATAGAGGTTCGCCGGTTGAGGAAGATTCGCCACTTTCTGAAGGATGAACTTCAGTCCAGGACGGCAGTCGAATTTCAGAGCTGTCGCGTAGGAGAGATCCAACGCTGAGAGGAAGATGTCCACGTGTTGGCTGTTCAGGTAGGACAGGTAACCAGGTGCGATGGTTTTCGGCGAAGATGGTGCAGCTGATTGTGGTATGAGATTGGACAAACTGTAATTGAAACGAGAACGACGATAGAATTTCAGTGGAATCCGTGGAACGATCGTTCACTCGCGTCGAGGAGATACCTACCTAGGGAACGACGAATCGGAGCCTTGCAAGAGAACACTGGCGATACAATGAAGAAGCATTTGGTGGACCAAGAGGCCGACCACCAGTGCTCTGAGTTGTACTCTAACGATATAAAAATCAGGATTGAGGGTGGATGCCACCGCCGGTGGATAGAGAAGGAAAACGTAGGACCTGTCGTCCGATCTTCTCAGGATATCTTCGACTCGTTGTTCCTCCAGGAGGAACACCTGAAGGCACAAGAATCTCTTCAGTCTGTTTGATAGATCGAAAATGGTGAATTGTCATCGCACGATTCTTCGTAGATCCTCGACACGTCTTGCCTTTACTATTTTCATCTGACATTTCTAATCTCGAGACTTGTTTCTTACACGTACATCTAATTCGTTTCTATGATGTGTATTCGAGAAGCTACAAAAGCAATCGTGCGTGATGGATACGAGATTCGGTGATGTCGTGACTAAAACGATGAACTGGCGCTCTCCGTTTATCTCAGTTTCTTTCTTTCTTACGATGAAAAACAAAGGTATTACGTTAAGAGAGAGAGCGGTGGTTCTAGCTCGATTCCTAACGTGATTCCGTTAATTCAGTCAGTCAGTAAACATGTGTGCATTCTACGAAAGCTGCAGCTTCTAGAATAGGTGTCGTATATCTCATCACGTACATATTATGTGACAGTGAAATTCTAGCCATGGACTCAAGCCATGGATTTTAATGGTGATACGCAAGACCGTGCCAAGTTAAGTTTAAATGATATCTCGGCCGACGACGGGGTCCTTCCTTGATCGACTTACAGATATTACTTTATTGTCGCGTGAAAAGATAACGGTGCAATTTCGCGAATATCCCGAGAAACTTTCACGAGTAAACTAATTTCCGTTCTTTATCCAACGTTCCGTAATGGAAAAAAGGACCTCGTCGAAGAGGTTCTGCAGCCTGACCTGTGCCTTCTACCAGCGAGTGCAAACATCTAAACGAGGTGATCGTTTTACCAATCGTGTCGTTCGCTCAGCTTCGACAGGCTCACTTCGATTCTTCCTTGTCCTTCGTCTCATCTTTTTTCTCGATTCTCTCGTGATCAAGGAGTTTGTTAGGGGTGCAATACACAAGAACGAACCAGCGAATGATAAAAGCATCTGTATTTGACACATTCTGCATCGAACACATATTTGGAGCGGTACAAAAATACATTAAAAACACGAGCGTGTTTGTGTGTGTGTGTGTGTGTGTGTGTGTGTGTTTGTTGACAATACGCAAATCTCGTACAAAGATTATTTCGTTGTCCTCTTTGCTCTTTTTTTTTTCCTCCATTGCAGTATCGCGCAGTGGCATAGAATTATTTTTCTTATCGTATTAAAAAAATTTTAAAACACTCTCGTTTAAAAACAACCATTCGGAGGTGAGTCCGATATGGTGGAAGGAAGTGAATTCTACGCCACCGTGTCAGCCATCAATCATCCAGATGCAAGCTCAAACACAGGTAAAGCGCACGAATCACGAGGCACGCCGATGCAAAAAAATAGAAAATCTGTGTGTATATATATATGTATATGTATAAAGAGAGAGAGAGAGAGAGAGAAGAGAGAGAGTAAAATCTATCACATTTCGCGTGAGCAAATATTCTTTGATCGAGGAACAACGTTTTAGAGGCTCCGTAAAAGGCAGAAAAGCTGCGGTTGCATTGTGTTATCCTGAGTTAATCATTTTTCCTTAGTTTTTTTATTTTTTCTCGTCTCGCGAAGAACGCGGGCTCGAAAGCAGGCCTGTCGACAACGACCACGTAACGACAGTTTTATATTCTTCGTTTCGATTACCACCATTCTGCTTCGACGATGGGACACGGGCCGCCATTCTGCGTCGACGATGGCACACGGGGCGCCATTCTGCGTCGACAATGCTTCGACGATGGGACACGGGCCACCATTCTGCTTCGACGATGGGACACGGGCCGCCATTCTGCGTCGACGATGGCACACGGGGCGCCATTCTGCGTCGACAATGCTTCGACGATGGGACACGGGCCACCATTCTGCTTCGACGATGGGACACGGGCCGCCATTCTGCGTCGACGATGGCACACAGGGCGCCATTCTGCGTCGACAATGCTTCGACGATGGGACACGGGCCGCCATTCTGCGTCGACGATGGCACACGGGGCGCCATTCTGCGTCGACAATGCTTCGACGACGGCACACGAGACAAGTCTCTGTGTCGATAATGCTTCGACGGTGGCAGCGAACGCGTTAATGCTTTAATTTACGACCTCGCTAAATCTGTTCCACCGACTATACCTGTAAATCCACGGAGAACTCACACGGTGGTCCAGTCGGTATCGTTAAGAAAGCTCGGTTTTCATGCTCGGTATGGGAAAAGAAAATCGATGTAACCAAATTGAAAGGGGGGGAGTGGGGTGTATGGCCGGGGAATAGGCGCGAATATATCGAGGCAGCCCGGAATCGTCTGGAAAAAGAGGTCCGGGTAAATATCCAGAGTGCTTGCGAGCTGCACCTACGCTCGGTCGATACTCTAAATGGGAAAACAGGAAGATACTCCCTTTTTATTTAAAACCAGAGAGACAGACACACGTGTATATACATACGTACGTGTATGCATTTATATAAGCGTATAGAAAGAGAGAGAGAGAGAGAGAGAGAGAGAGAGAGAGAGAGAGAGAAGTGTTTAGGGGGATAGAAGCGTGACGAAGGCACCTACCTGAGCGGCGAGCTGTCGTAGTCGTTCGGACTCTTCGATGGTCGCATCCCGTCGCGCGGCAACCTTGACCTGCGCGACGTCACCGTAAAAGGACTCGGATCTCGGCGAGAAAGCCATGGTCAGCTGGTGCAACTCTTGCAGGGAGTTGGAACAAGCGCGGTAACAGGCGACGCCGCAGACCTTCCATTGTTCTGGGGTGAGGAGCGGCCCGCTGCTCACCAGGACGTGCCTGTGCAGAGACATCATCGCTTCGATCAGGAGAAAATACTAGCTGCCTCCCTAGGATCTTCCTACGCAAGCCTGGACAACTCTAGGAAGCTGAGACGTACCACGAAGACAAGTGCTCCGTGATCTCTAACGAAGAGAAGCAATCAACCCTAAACTCTAGACTTCTAAACGCTCCTCTAATTTACTCCTTCAGGATCTCCTCGAGGAAAGGAAGCTAATCGGCGTCGAATTGCCATGTACAAAGCCTACACGATGTCTAAACATCCTATACGTGCATCATGCCACGGCTGAAGGAGCAGCTTCGAGCCAGTAAATAGAAGTGGGTTGCTGCTACCAGGAGTGGGTGACTCTAAGATTTCAGATCAGGATCCCGTTCGTCATTCAGTGCCAGGCTAGCTATCTGCCCGCGAACCTGTCCCGTTTTTAAAGTCCGCGCACGCCTGTACATCGATACTTCGCGATCGACCCCGGCCACGTATTGGATTACACGCGTCCATGTGTAATACACCGGTGTGCATCAATACGGAGAAAACGCGCGAAAGGATCGCGAGCTTATGGCAGAGAGAGAGAGAGAGGACAGGGGGGCTGTCGCGTGTATTACACGTTCTCCTGGTGGAGATGTGTGTGTCGCTGGCACGACGCACCGGGGGTGTCGAGTGTCGGGGGCTACCTTATCCCACCGGACAGCCTGTCAAGCTTCGTTATCATCTTACACGCACTCTACGCCCGTAACGACGATATATCTAACCTCCGACGATGGACATTCCAGCGAACCTCTGTCCTATGATTCACCCTTTCTCTCTTCTAGCTGATCCTCTTCGTCCTGGACACTTATCTATTTCGATCTTACCGAATGTAACTTCGATTCGATGGAAATCTGAGAGTGAGTCATCGATGTTGAACTAGCTAGCTGGAGCATTCTGATCTTCGAAATTGCTAGCAATTTACCAAGTTTCATACTCACCGAATACACGCACAACCCAGGCGAGCTATGCTTTCAGTGGACTGCACCACGCATTCGGCCATTACCAGCAACAGTTGTTTCAGCATCAGCGTCGTGGCTGGGAGATAGGCATCGTTCCTGACAACCTCGGGACCTGAAATCATCGGCAGTCACGAGTTAGTTCGATCTTACGAAGACTGTTTATTAGAGAGGATATATTCCAAATTACCTTGCAAGTGTGTCAAATAATCAACGACCAGATCCGTCGTAAGTCCGCAACACTGCTTAAAATTCGGCGCGAAATTGTCCCAACCCCTGAAGATCTTAGACGTCCTCCTTAACCAATTCTGTACCATAGGTAGAAGCAAATGGTTCACGCAGTACAGCCCGAAAGTTGGTCCAGGTGTATTCAAGGTGTCCCTCAACAAATGAAACAGCGTCTCCAAAGTGTGAGGCTGATAACGTTTAGGACAGATCATGGTAGCGCTGGCTAGACCCTCTATCAATATATACCAAACCCTCAAAATTCCACTGGGCTTGTCCATGCTTTGCAAAGTGGTCATGGTATGAACGTTGTCCATCAGCACGTCGTGAGGTCTCTCAGGAATGGTCTCTTGAATGGAATCGGCGTGCTTGTCGAATCTGATCAGCTCTGTGTTGGGTATGATAGGATCGACGTATTGAGGAATAGTGGAGACTTGGATCCTCTGGGCTGAATGAAAGATCGGACAGGCTGGCATGCCATACATAGAGGCCAAGATGTCGCTGCAGCTCAGCAGATACTTCAGACTCTCCACGCAGAGTCTCATTCTCCTCGATTCAGCGACGTCGATCTGCTCCTGATCGTCCTGATGACTCTCCGTGTCACCGATGCCTCTCACGTGTCTCAGAAGACAGAGAATGCAATCTAGCGCCGCGTTAGCAAAGACCAGCGTGTTGTCGGTGGAGAGAAAGACCCTGAAAACCTCGAGCAACGGCGCCGACTCGACGGAATCTGAATTACCGACCGAGGCTACACGAAGAGCGCCGAACAATGGCCGCCAACCCGATCGAATCTCGGTTCTGTTGGTCTCCACGAACTCGCAGATGCAGCTGACGATCTGGTAGGAAGGGATTTATCATATCTTTAGATAACAGGATTTTTTTGGAGGATTGAAGAGGACTCACTTGATCCTGGACGTCGCTGTCGCACAGCTCTAGGCACAGAAGGTTCTCGAAGGGCTTGAAGAGAGCTTCGTTGAAGTGAAAGTGAGGAAGTTCTATTTGCTCGTTCAACAGAGCAGCCATAGAATCGTGGATGCACTGAACTGCCTTTTTAGAGATGCCACGATCCTTGTGGCAGGCTGCCTCCATGAAATGAGGCCCTAGGATACTCCAAACCTGAGGAAGTTTTTATTCAGAACTTTTGGGAACATTTAGATTATGGGAAATGTTAGAAAGTTTGTTGTACCCTCATTATGTGGATCAAGGGACGTCCACTTTTTACGCATTTTAACATAACTTCTCCTAATCTAGCCAAAAGTAGGACGTTCATCTCGTTTTCTCTGGGTTTGCTCCTCCTCCACCAGAATCTCTTATTGTCTTTCGAACCGTCGGTGGTTTTGAACAACTGAGCTTTGCTAGCCTTGCAGAGAGCAGCTAGGAAGAGACACAGTGCTCTGAGGTTCAATTTTAGTGCCGCGTTTTCAAATAATCTGTCCACTTGCTGAGATAAGACGCAGATGATCTTTGCTGCGTAGTCTGCAGGGAGAATTCCGTTGAATTGACTGTCTGCGTTCGATTCTTGGATAATTTCTGGGATGGTGTCTGTGCTGGGATTCTGTGTGTATGGACTGGATAGGAAACTGTAGACGTCGACACTGAAACAATCAATTTCTTTGTTAATAATAGAAAATCTGATTGATCTATCGTAGATCAATTTTCTGGATAATGTTTTACCAGGTCTCTTCTTCGTCCACGATGTTGAAATTCAGCTTTAATCTGTCTTGGCTACCCTTGGCATCTCCATTTGCACCGTCTTTCTTCTCCTTCTTCTGCTGAGTCTTAGGCAACGATGGATTCTGGTTTCTTCCGAAGAAATCGTGCTCCAATTTGCTCACGTATAAACAGCACCTGTTTAGAGCGTAAAAACTGTTTATATCATACAGGAAATGTTTATCAGAGGTGTTTTAACGACGTCTTACGTGAAAACGTGAGGCCAGCAATCGCTGCCGTGGCTTCCAAGCTCCAACCCCTTTCCCAGAAGCACGTCCATGCTCAGAGCATGCGACGTGTGAATATTCGTTGCCCTGTTTTGCAATTTCAGACGCAGAACGTCCTTGGTTCTCGTGATTTTCGAGATAGACTGTTCGGTGCAGGCTGCTTTTACCAGCAGAGCAAAGATGGAACCGCAGCGATTTTGCAGACCTGCATGAAAAGAGTATAAAATAATCACATAGAGAAGAACATCCTGAAAAGATTGATTCAACACTGACCAAGAATATTGCTGAGGATTGCAGCTTTATGAAGACCTTCTAAGGACAAAACCACGGTGTCTCTGATACATCTACTGCCACCATCTCTGTTCAAGATTCCCTTATTGTTCTGCTCCTTTGGAGGATTCAATCCTGTCGTTAACACAGTCATCATACTTCCCCAGCAGCAAGTTAACACTCTTCTTGAAAGCTTGGCACCTGCTTCAGCTTCCGGCGTAGGCTCGCTTCGAGACAGCTGAGCTCTTTCCAGTCTTATGTAGTCAGACAGAAGCTGTCCACCTCTTTGGCTGCCAGGAATCCCATCGACGTCTTTCAGAAATAATTACCAATTAATATTTAGAGGTTCTACAGACCTCTGTTGAATTCTAGAATATTTATTTACCAGTCAACACGTTAATCAAAGCACTATTTTCGGTATCGTGAGGATTGTAGCCACATTTCTCGAGCAAATTGCTCGCAAGAACTTGTTGGTACAGTTCAGATAACCAGGTTGCTGAGAGATAAACCAGAACTCCGGATCCATGCACCTCTTCCACGAATTGTTCCTGAAGAATTCCACCGCTTATTGAAAGTCTCAGAGAGAGAATAATAAGATAGTTCGTACCTCACTGATGGGAACCTGTCGATTATCCTCGTGATAATAATTAATCCTGATCAGCTTCAGGTTCAACAACAAGGCAGCGTAGGTGGCTAAGTAAATTCCATCAGCATTCATTATTGTAACCAACGCACAAGAATCTGTGCTAGTATCAGTCTGCTCCTGCATCTTCTGCTGAGCTGTGAAGACCCCTGAAGATGCGACACAAGTTCTCACATCGATTAAACAATAAGTCCCTGGATATTTCGTTCGTAAAATCACCATACCTTGACAATACTCCGAAGCAAAATTCTGCAGAGCTTCGTCAACCTCTATATTGCTCCTCAAACTCAGCACCATGGGAATCAAATCGCTCTTCAGAGTCTTGACGAATTTCCTCGCGTTGTGCCTCTCCATGTCGACGTTGCACTCGTCGGCAACTTGACGACCGACGTGAAGACACTTGGGCAATTTCTCTAATCTCAGTCTCTCCCTTTCGTTCTCTATCGCGTAATCGTTGTCCTCCAAGCTGTTTTCCTCTTGAACTTCGTCGGACTCGTTCTGAGGGCCTTCGGTGTCCGTAGAGTCGCCATCTTCGGATGGTCCGTGACCGGAAGAGTCTGAATCCGAGCCAATTCCCTTCTTCATGAGCTCCAGCTGCTCTCTGAAATCAAGTTACCCATCGAATTTCTCCAAATTTATTCGCTTGGCAAAGCTAGCATCGAGGACTTGTAACCTGTCCAAGTCACAATCTAACTTCACCTGTAGGTTTTTGGCAAGCGTGCCATGCTCTGGTAGGTCAGAGGTCCTTTGTAATCGCACGACTCCAAGTCTTCGTACAGACTATTGATCACACACGTGTAGATATGATTGATAGCCTTCCCCTCGCACAATTCCTGAAGAGCGGAGAGCATCGCGACCACGCACGACACACTCGCGTGCAGCGTGCTTAATCCGCCAGTTGTCGACTCCTCGATCGAGTCCATTGCTCTGTAATTCGAATTTTTACTCAATTACAATCACCTCGAGTTGATTACTTCCACTGGAACAACCACTTACAATCTCATCAACGCCATGTCGCTTTGAATGTGACTGGACTTGTCTTCCTCCACTAGTAATGGACCGGTAAAATCAACCATTCGACTGGGACTTCTTAGAAGCTCCTTCAGAGCTTTCAGAGATTCTAATCGTTGCTGAGGTGGCGGGTATAGTAACATTCTGTGGAATACCGATTCTAGAACTGGCCTGAGAGGACCGACGCAGCCCACCAGTCTCACTAATTCCGTTCCAATGCTGTGAAAATGATCGTTGATAAATTTACACATTTTTGATCGATAAAATACAAGATTTATCTCAGGTTATGCTACACATTTAGGATTTTCATTGAAGCCTCTACCTGTAGACAGTTTTCGCCTGATGGCTATCAAAGCTCAAAGAGGTGGCCAAATATCCAGAACCCCTTCCAATTTCGTTCTCCTTTCCCTCTCTGGAGGTGAAGGTCTTGTCGACCCTCGGTGTGCCCAGAAAAGCGATCAAAGCTGGACAGAATTTCTGCCATAGGAATGCGGTGAAGTGTGCGTTCGTGTGAATCTTCTGCGGCAGCGAAGAGATCAACGTATGGAGACACTCGAGTAGAAACACGACAGTGTTACCGTTTCTGCTATTGCTGGAACAGGATTTCCTGAAGTTTAACCACGAGTGTGTCGTACGAATCTCCCTCTTTTCTCTTACTTCTGAGCTTCGTCCAATTTGCTGCAAATGTACTGAAGTATAGGGAGAGCCTCGTTGAAACACGAAACACCTCTCTCCCAGACGTTCTTGTTCTTCTTCGCGTTCTCGTCCATCTCCTGGCACTCTTCGTCTGTCGGAAACGATTCCCTAGTTTTAATTACCTTCCGACAAGCTCGGAGAAAGCGGCAAGGATAATTCGGGGATCACGGAATTCCGGAGTCACGCGAGCGTCAGATTTATTGATCAAACATTCCGTTCAACTCGACAGGATTTACAAGTGTTTCCCGATGGAAATTACCTAAGAACAAGCAGAACGATCGCAGGGTTTGGCTGGTAGCCGCCTGAGCGGCTGTCCTCACCGCTTGGTTCCCGTTTTCGAAAGCCTCGCAGCAGGTCGTGAGAATTGCGATTATCAGGCGACCGTTCATCGTCCAGTAAGAAGAGCAAGCCACTTGTAACAAAACCTGCAAACGATGCTACGTAGAATATCTTATTTTTTTTTTTGGAATTTTTGTAGGTGAATTTAGGCTCACTTTTAGCATATCCGTCTGAGTGTCGTCTGACTGCGACAGCATAGAGCTCATCGCGTGCAACATTTGCGCGGGTAGCCAGAGAGAGTCGTCCTCTGGCTCGTACGGCGACTGGAATCTGTCGTCCCTCAACATTTTCTATATTAAAAACACTCGTTTTAAGTGAAAATAAAATAATTAGACTGCGATAGGTCGCACTAGATTGAAATTTCGTAGCACTCGTGCACTCTAGGTTTCCTCATATTTTTTCATCCTACGGAGAAGTAAATTTCGAGGTACTGTTTGTTAAAAACAGGAATAACAGGGGAATCCTGCGTTCAGCGCTGTTTCAAAAACCGCAGCTGGTCGTCGGTATCTTCCGTTTTATCAGGAAGTTCCTTTCCGCGAGCGTATGCGTCACTTATGCATACGCGATACCATAGAGCCGTGGAACGTGTTAGGGAAAAGGGGATAAATGTGAAACACTCACGTGCAAACCAGACAAACCAAACGCGACGAATTTGCTTCTCTTCGTTTCCAGTGCTAGCTGAAGAGCGTGTAGACATTTTGCTCGCAGCTCGTGGGGTGGATCGCGTAGCAACCCCTGCTGCTTGTCCAGGAAGTCTGCGTAGAAACGTGAAATTTATCAATCTGATAGTATCGAATGTTTCTATTAACATCTGTTATCTCTGATAATATCGAATTAACCGAAAAGTATTCTTCTGGTTGCTTGAAATGTTACAATTGCTGAGTTAATGGTGGATGAAGTGGTGCGTGGTAAGGGTAAATTGTTCCTAGTACGAGGCAGCCAGTGTTTCACGGTAGAAAAGGGTTGAAGAAGGTGGACTTACCGTACGCTTCCTGCGCTGATTTTCGCAAATTTTGTAATTTTGCATTGCTCGATTCTCGGACGATCTGCAGCAGGAGATCCTCCATGTCACGGTGGACTAACACGCGACTGATCGATAGCGGGAGTGCCAATGCACGCTCGGGCATACGCGCGCATCCAGGGCCGTAGGAATGATTTCTCGCGAGGGAAGTTCATTTCCTTCCTCGAGAATTTACCAGACGTTAAAAGCCGCTTAATTACTCGGCTTACGGATGACAGAGCCTGCAGAAGAATACATTATGGCACAACGGTAGTATACGATGCTGATTTAAACACACAGAGTGTGAAAGAAATTAGTTTTTATTTTGAAAAAGTGTAGAGTTGTTGGTACAAGTAAGGAACGTCTTTGAGACTTTTTATAGCAGAGCTAAATTGCGCTATTTCTAGGGTGAAATTTTCTAATTTGTAACTCTTACAATTTTCGTTATTTCGCGATGGGAATTTGTACAGGTGTTCTGTGTACTTACTACTTTTTAGTTTTTCGATCGCGTGAATATTCTTGGCACTTTTCTGTCAAGCTTTTTAATCGATCCATGACTACGTCGCATCTATTTATTCGCACAATATTATTCTATAGCAATTAACATATTCTACACTTTAAAAATATGTCGCATCTATTTTTTATAGTCATTCTGTCATTTTTTCAGAGGTTTCACGTCAATTTTCACGCTCTTCTCATAACCTTATCTGTGGATATAGATTAATTATAATCAAAACAATGTTTCACACGTCAGCGGACGTTTGAAAATTCGCGGACAATTGCGCGCGCAGGTTTTCACGCGGTCCAACACAGTCCGTTTTCAAATATGGCGTCGGAACCTGACAAGAAGCGCAAGGAACCGGAGAAATTGTGCCGTACATCCATGAATTTGTACAAGTTCGCGGTGAATCTGATAGGTACAGGTCTCCTCGTGAAGGAAGAGGGCCGCTAGTTACGTGGGTTTCTCGTCGACGTTGTCATAAATTCCTTTCGTCTCTCGTGACAGGTTTGGCATTCGGCTTTTTCCATTGGTGGCATGTGTCGACGCTGTTCGAAAATGACCGGCATTTCTCGCATCTGTCCGAGATCGAGAGGGAAATGTCTTTCCGCACAGAAATGGTACGAGATACGATCGAAATCCATCATCTGACGAGATTCGCTAGTGGATAACAGGTATGTTTTTGTTTTGTCTCTCTCGCAGGGGATGTATTACTCGTACTACAAGACGATCGCGGAATCGAAAACGTTCATGGAAGGACTGAGAAAAATTAGCCACGATAACATTTCCGAGTACGGGAACGTTTTCAACGCGGCTAGAAAGTATAGCTTGTTGCCAGAGGTATTGTTTTCCAAATCTGATGGATCTTTAGGTTAGGTTACCGCTGCGTAGTAGCGAGTAAGACAGAATTAATGATTTACAGCTGGTAGCCGGATGTCTTTATCATTGCTCCAAGAGTCTGGGGATTATATCCATTGTGCAGTGCTGGCAAGTGAGCCTCCTTTATGTTAGATCTGTGTACAGAGTCAATTGTCACGTTAGGTGGTAGTTGTTTGTAGGTCTTTTGTAGAAATATGAATCTAGAAGGCTCTGTATACATTAGGAAATGTAATCTGTGTATCTATTCTTACGGAAGAACTAGAAAGAAATTACTTTCAGGTAGAAAGAGGAGAAGGTGTGCCACCGGTGACCAGCTGCGAGGGTCTGGGTGTTCCAGTTTATTTTTACTTAGAGATTGTTTGGCTTTCCACTATAGTCACAGTGGCTGTACTCTTCTATTATGCTGTGTACCTAGGAAACAGCGTGAGCAGTGGAATTATAGCTGTACTCCTATTCTTTTACAATCACAACGAGTGTACCCGTGTTCAATGGACACCACCGCTGAGAGAAACCTTTGCCTATCCTGCACTTCTCTATCAAATGTACATATTGACTGTGATTCTCAGAGAAGGCACTCTGCAAGACACTAGAAAAGTGCCTAGAAGCTTACTTCAGGTGTGTTCAGGCACTTAATTCAACACAACTGAAGTACCTCAAGTACAAGTAACAAGAAACCTTGATTCTTTCAGAAAATGGGATTGGCCACGGTGATTAGTTTATGTTGCTGGCAATTCTCCCATTTTGTGTTCACCACACAAATTATCGCATTGTTGATATTAAAATGGATGAAAATAATCTCCAAATATCTCTACAGTTTCATTTTCACCGTTCATGCTTGGTCCATAGCAATAGCGGTATTTCTAACAGACGGTACCACCTTACTAGTTTCCCTATATTCCTGCCTCCTGTTCGTAAGCAACGTCTCGTGCGACACAGAGATCTGGTCTCACACAAAACTGCAAGCACTGTTAGAAATCGTGGGAACAATTATCTGTACGAAGTACTTGAAATTATTCTTCGCATCCGAGGACGACGCCCACGTGTACAATTTACTGAAGTCTAAGTTAACCGGTTATAAGGATTTCCACACGATGTTGTACACGTGCTCGCCGGAGTTCGATTTCCTACAATACAGAAGCTACGAGGCGATCATAAAAACGTTGCTCCTCCCGTGTGCCATACTAGCTGGAATGTTGGCGGTCTATTTCTGGTACAGAAATTACAAAATCAAAGGATATCCGAGATGCATAGAGCCGGAACTGGCGTACAACGGCCTACAGACCGGTGCTTTTATCATCATGGCGGTCTTTATCATGAGGCTGAAACTGTTCATGAACCCCCATCTGTGCATAATAGCTGGCACAGTTTGCGCGAATAGGTATCTGGAGAAACTTGGCTTGAAAAGCGACTTGATGAAGACAGCGGTTATTCTTCTATTAATATCTGCGATGTCTTACCACGGGTTGGAGAGGCTGCAAGAGGAACGTAGTATCATAGGTAATTACGAAGCGCTTAGAATATACAAGTACTAAATAAACGTGTTTACGTACATTGCTTGATCTTTGATCACGATGATAAGGCGAGTACAGCAACATCGAGCAAGAAGAACTGTTCGAGTGGATCAAGAAACACACATCTAAGAACGTTGTATTCGCTGGCAAGATGTCTTTGATGGCGAATTTGATGCTCTCCACTGGAAGACCCATCGTTAACAATCCTTACTACGAGAGTAAAGAGATGAGGTGCATAATCTTACCACTACCAGGACATCGATACTCGTGTTTGTATATTAAAATATTTACCATCAGCTAGTTTATATTCCAGGGATCGAACGATGAAGGTTTACGAGATATTCAGCAGAAAGGACGTCACATCCGTGTACTTCACCCTGAGGAACTTGCAAGTTGGCTACGTCGTGCTGGAGGAACCGCTTTGCTTCGGTTTCGCGAACCTGTAATTACCAAGAGATCGATGAAAATTAACGATAAGAATATTTAACTGGCACACAAGGGAGTATTCTCTGCTTTCAGACAAGTTGGATGCCAAATGATCGACCTGTGGGACCTGGTGGACAACGGAACCGCGAAAGCTGCAGGGAAACTATCCCTATGCCCAGTATTATTCCGTGGAAACGCTTACCCTTTCAAAAGAGCCTTTGTAAATAATCGTTACGTCGTTCTGCAGCTCGATTACTCCCATTACGTCGAGCTGAAGCCAAAGACTTCCCTGCACTATCAATCCTGAGCGAGCCACCGGTGCAGATCGATCGACTGATCCTGTGACAAATCGAAGATACCTCGCGAGACTACAGAGAATAATATTTTTGCTTGAGAGAGTGAGAGAATGAAACGTTGTGTATGATACATATATATATTTTTTTTTAAACAAACAAAGGCAGCGAGGGATTGGTGTAAAACAGAAACAGCGTTGTTAGCGACAGAGTTTTAGACGTGAGATTGCGAATAAAATATTAGGATTAATTTTTACTCGAACTCTACGTTCCTACAAAAGCCCTAACTCTCCCAAGATCTCCTCTAGTCTTGCGTAGCTTTATATATAAACAAACATAGAAACGTGTGCAAAAAGCCAGACAGCCTCTTTTCGTAACTGTCGAAAGCGTCCGTAATGGAACTCTTATCTCTTCGTCTCTTTCTTTCTTTCTTTCTTTCGTTTAATGAAAGTTGGTCGAATTTCACGAGATACTTATTAGCGCGAGAAAAATGCATAGAAAAATCGAACCGCGCCGCGAAGATAGCTCCGTTATAGCAACACACACGGCACCTTCACTTCGCCGTGTAACAGATAGTATAGTCAGAGCCCAGCCTTCGCTATACTACGTTGTGCTGCTGACCCAAATGAATCCTATGGCCAGTCAGTCCCGGTCCGGGCTTCTTCGCGGCAATAGTTGCTCGCTCGATCACAGCTGGTACCGTGTGAACGGAACGTGTTTATTCCTCGACTGCTCCATGTCGAGCAACGTTACCAAATACTCGTCTCGTAAATCGTACATGTGTATCTGTAATCCGTCGTGGCCGTTGTGACGAACATTGTTAATTCGATCGAAAAGCATCGTTATCCATATTGAAACCAGGAACCTGAAGGCCCGGGTGAACATTCTAAGATCACCCCTAAACAGTGAAAGTTTTCCAATCGATCGATATACACACCTTTCGAGATAAACTGACAATTTGCTCCATTCTTTTTTTCTTTTCCTTCAGGAAAAATGGTTCAGGGTGTTTGGATTGGATGTGATTCGAAGGATCGATAGCCGGCGACGGCGGGGATTGTTTTTATCTCTATTCTCTCTTCTCTTTCGTCGAGAGAATTACCGTTTCTTTTCTTTTTTCTGTGAGAAGAGTTGATTCTTTTTGTAAAAAGAGTGAAATATCAGCTGGTGGATTTAGAAGTGATCTCCTGGTAATACGTAAGACACGAGTTGGAGCAGAAGAGAAGGAGGAGAAGGATGCAAGAGGCGGAAGCGAACACGTAGAAATCACGTTGCACCGGCTACGAGGATCCGATTGATCGAGATCGCGCGCATCCGCAGGCTCCGAATAGCGATGCGGTTGCATTCCACGGCAACGATAGTTCCGCATAATCACTGACACTCTGCAGTGAGTACCGCCCGAGTTCTATTATTCTTATTCTTTCTTGTCTCGTTCCTCGTTAACGGAGGAAATGATTTGTGGAATACCAAGGACATCTCCGCCTCGCGTCCTTGCGTCAACTTATGGACGGTGCATTAATTCGCTCAATGAGCATAACAATGTAAATGCAGTCCTCAATCGGATACGCCTGCGACCCATGCTACTGTAATTTCGAAATTACGCTCGTTCCGTTTGCGGAATTGCAATTTCCCCGTGAATTCCGAGATTCTCGTTCGCGAGGATATTGCTCTTTTACCTCTTCTGCCAATTTCACCTCGCATCAAGCGTACGACGACGCTTGAAATTAAGGGATCGTAGATTTCGTCGGAATCGCGCTTAATTTTTGCACAGTCGCTCAAAATCGAGGATGTTTTATTTCATCTGTTCGTTTTTAATTCAACCTTTGACTCCTCGCGCCTCCGCAGAAGCTAGAAAAATGTGAGAACGAGTTTTGCTTGCGGTACTAATCCCACGTAATAGCGAATCTCGTCGATTTTCTCCTAACGCTCGATCAATTAAACCTCCATCAAGCCTTGGTCCCGCAAAACCGCGAATCATTCTGCGAAAAGAAAGGATTTCATCGGTCTCCGATTAAGCTATCAAAAGCAAAGTTTCTCCGTGGAAAATACTCCTAGCTTTCGTCTATTTCGATGGTCGAAGCGTACACTGTATATCCAAACTACGGATACAGAAATGTAGAATAACATTTCCTCCAAGGAAGCTTGAATTCTGAATGAATCGATGTTGAAGATTCCTCGAGTACACGTGCACTTACACTTAGGTGAACGTTTTCTCGAGACTGTCTCCTGTTTTCAAACAAGAATCATTTTCTCTTCTCTACTTGTATTCTCATCGAAAATACAACGATTTATCGTTACGTTCTTACTTTTATCTCGTCGTTCATCCTCCGTCTAATTTGTAGGCTTAAGTGAAATCGCGTGTAAGTTCGTCGATTCGTTCAGAAAATAAGCTTCCTAGGGGGAAAAATGTCGCTGTACGGTTTCGCCTGATCTCTTCGTCTAAATTCATCCCTTTTGCGCGTGACACCCTGTAGAAGCACGTAGACCGAGAGAATAAAGTGGATAGGAAGCGAGTAGAATCGTGGAACGGCGAAATAGCCGTTCGTTCCCTGACCTCGAAAGCACGCGGAACATAGACAGCGCGGTTGCGTTCGAGGAGGAATTTGGCACGCACCGCGGTCGAGCGCGAAAAAAAGTATCGATGCACTGGAAGCCGTACAGAGAGGCCGGCCTAAATCTCACGGAGACGATCGTGCCGGTACGTTGAACCGATAAATGTTTCTGTCGGTGTGTTTGCCTCGATGCAAAACCGGCCGCGCCTAATCTCTCTACGACGAAGAAGACGAAGACGACCAAGACGACGACGGTTCGACGGCCAGGCTAGAGTCTGTCGGTTGGTTATACTTTCTCGCCGGTATTCGTAACCCACTTTTCAGTCTCGATGCAGTCACCCCGTGTACCGGTGCCAACATCTCGAATTAGAAGGGTCTAATTCGCTAGAATTATCTTGGAACAGACGATGCGAAGTTCTGGATGGATCTTGTTACGTGATCTTATGATTCATGCGTATTTTTGTCAACTTTCGGTGATTTAGAGGGTTATTGGGAGACGTTGGATTAACGGTACCGACGATTTTCGAGAAATTTTGGGCATTGTTTTCTGCTACTTCTTTTTCTCCCTTAGTCACGGTTTTTTGACTTTCTGCGACTTAGAGATTCAGAGATTTATCGAGAGACGTTAAATTACCGATAACGACGATTTTCGTAAAGTTTGAGTACAATTGTTGAGCTTTTACTTTTTTTCCATTCTTAGCTAAGTTTTGTTAACTTTGTGCGATTCAGAGATTTATTAAGAGACCTTAGATCACCGATAGCGACGATTTTTCGTGAAATTTTGAGCATAGTTGAATTAGAAAATATTTGACGAGTGTTTTCTTTTACTTTTTTTTCACTCTTAGGCACGTTTTGTCAACTTTGCGCGACTTAGAGATCTAGAGATTTATCAGGAGACGTTAGAATTCCGATAACGACGATTTTCGCGAAATTTTGAGTATAGTTGTCGAATCAGACAACTATATTACTTCCTTTTCATCCTTGGAAAATTGGTGACTGGAATCAAAGGACTTTGGACGTTTTCCAAAGGATGACACAATTTGGTGATCGGAAAATGTCGAATATCTTCGGATATCTGCGCGTATCAATTGCGTGGTGTCTTTTTTTAGTATACTACAGGGAATAAATATAGAAAAGTCACGAGGCGCAATTTACAAATTTAATCTCATCAGTTTCGTTCCACATCCACCTTACACTCCCTCATCCCTTTAATTCACCAACGAAGGGTTAACCCTTCCCAAACGAAAGTTCCAAATTCCTCCCGCTCCCTCGATCTTCATTTCAATTCAATCACCGTTCAGAGAAATTCTCGAACAACCAGTTTCCACTGGAATCGGCAAACTAAGAAGCGGAAGTGTCTCGATGTCGATCGACATTTTACCTTCCTCTTCTCTTCCTCCTCGTCGCGTATGAAAATTCTCTAGCGAGTACACACACGTATCGTGTGCATAACCATCGTGTGAAACAGCTTCAAGGTGGAGGCCGTAGAGTCCTTCCTTCTACCCGGCTGAAAGGAGACATTCCTTCCGCGAAGATAAAGAGACGCGTGTTGTAGGCAGACAGAGTACGAAAGAGTGGGCGACAGAGTTTCACATGACCGAGTTAGAGACATCCAGTTTCGCCGGGGCCACGGTTCCCCGTGACACCAGATATCGTTTCCACGTAGGCCGGTTGATTGCTCGACAGAGAGAAGCCCCTAATTGGCCAGAGGTCACAATCATGAAACGTAATTTCATCCCACTAGAGGTAATCGCGGGAATTGTCGTTCCCTTGGCTTCGCGGATAACGCGCGTGTGATACTTCGAACGGCTACCGATAAATTGCACTTGTTTTTTAACTTTCCAATGTGGAAAGATCGTTTGTACGAATTTGTGTCGTTAGGGAACTGCGGATGTTCGTGATGTAATGGAGAGTTTCGTAGGAAATGGGTAATAAAGGGAAGACCTGATTTGGTTTTACGATTTTAACCCTAGTGCATTCTTCTGTTCCTGCGCTTAATGTCTTTGGGTCAAAATAGACCCGAGGAACCTAGACAATGAACTTTTAGTACACTGTTAAGAGAACATAAATTTTATAACGGTAAAAGTTCTTTAAAAAATAAAGTGATGGGTTAAAAAATTAGAATACTGTAACTTAATTCAATAAAAAAAAGAATTTCTCCCTAGAGTTCCAACAAAGACTTATTATTTTGTTTCCAATAGAAAATCTCAGGGAGCTCTAAGTCGCAGGGATCCAAAAACTGCATTAGGGTTTTCATTATTTTCTTTTTCTTTTGAAGAATACTGTAATCTAATTCGATAAGAAAAATAAAGCTCCTAAAAATACTCATTACTTTATTTCCAATAGAAGACAATTCTAGAGTTCGTTGATACTAAAATCTCAGGCAGCTCTAAGTCTCTCGAAAGAGAAACGAAAATGATTTTTTATCACGCGGCTACTCGCTGCGCAAGAGTTATTTTAAAACTCGCGTGGCCTCTCCTGATCGAAAGGAGAAATTATACGATATACTTGAAGCTCGATAAAAGAAAAAAAAATAGTTGCTCTCGTGGCGAGAATTTTGTTTTGTTAGAAACAGGGTCAGACTTTGCGGAATGGTCTCTTCCTCGATGATCTCACGTGGCTTCACGGCGACAAGTATACTTTTTTCCTCTTTTTCTGACCCGTGGCGTCTCTCGTAATCCATGGACCCTAACACCGGTTAGAAACGTGTTCCTCTATATGTGTGCCGCGATACACGTGATTAGAACCAGGCGTATACGCGCTCCGGTAGAACGGTTTTCTTTTTAGAAAACACTTCGCCGAGGAAACGTTCGAATTTTTCGAGAGGTATAAGAGGCTGTAAACTAGGCGTTTTATAAACTCACATTTTTCTCTCTTCTTCTATTTTTTCAGTGGAACGTAGGAATTTTTTGGGGAGAGCGTTATCGTAAAATACCGGCGAAAGAATTCTGGAGTGCTTCTAGATTTGGAAAATTTGTCCAAAGATATTTTCTTCTTTTTTTCTTTTTTTGTGGACGAGGGTAGATTAAAGATATTTTCTTCTTTTTTTCTTTTTTTGTGGACGAGGGTAGATTAAAGATATTTTCTTCTTTTTTTGTGGATGAAGATAGCTTAAAGATATTTTGTTCTTCTTTTTTGTGGATGAAGATAGCTTAAAGATATTTTGTTCTTCTTTTTTGTGAACAAAGGTAGATTAAAGATATTTCGTTCTTCTCTTTTTTCTTTTTTTTGGGGACGAAGGTAGCTTAAAGATATTTTGTTCTTCTCTTCTTTCTTTTTTTGTGTGGATTAATGCAGCTTAAAGATATTTTGTTCTTTTTTTTGTGGATGAAGATAGCTTAAAAATATTTTGTTCTCTTTTTTGTGAACAAAGGTAGATTAAAGATATTTCGTTCTTCTCTTCTTTCTTCTTTTTGGAGACGAAGGTAGCTTAAAGATATTTTGTTCTTCTTTTTGGGGACGAAGGTAGCTTAAAGATATTTTGTTCTTCTCTTTTGTGAACAAAGGTAGATTAAAGATATTTCGTTCTTCTCTTCTTTCTTCTTTTTGGGGACGAAGGTAGCTTAAAGATATTTCGTTCTTTTTTTTTGTGGACGAAGATAGCTTAAAGATACTTTGTTTTTTTCTCTGGACAAAGGTAGCTCAAAGATACTTTGTTCTTGTTTTTCTGGACGAAGGTAGCTTAAAGATATTTCGTTCTTCTTTTCTTTCTTTTTTTCGTGGATTAATGTAGCTCAAAGATATTTCGTTCTTTCTTCTTTTTTATGGACGAAGGTAGCTGTCGAAATTCCTGCGAAAGTAAATTCTTTTTATGAAATTACCATACAGCAGCGCGTGTACTTTCTTCGCGTAACCTACTTCCGGCAGAAACGGCAGGAAGAATGACGTTCACATCGGGCTAAAGAGTCGAGCATAATAGAGACAAGATCTTCAGACTGGTTTCTTGGAACGACATTGTTATCAGAGGAAGGAAAATTAACCTGGTTTCCAGTTGCTTTTCTATACGCTCAATTGAATTTCACACGAAACACCGTTTGTCCATTAAAATTCACAAAAAGAAAAAGAACATTTACTATACAAACCTAACCTACAGACATTTCCACTTACAAATGTCCAGATAAAATAATCGTAAAAAATTCCTTCCGACGAAAATTTCCATATTTTATCGTCCAATTAAAATAGGTAAGAAATATTTCGACGCATTCCAAGTAGGATGTTACGTACCTAACATAAAATGAACATTTCAGTCACGTTTCGCCGAGCAAAATGATTTAAACGATTGTTGTTCTTACGCCAAATGAAATTCTTCCCTCTTCTATCTATCAATCAACCTGGAATCTCTTCACCGAGCAATTTCTTTCCGGCGTAAATTCACTCTGAGGTCGCCGACGGTTTCTAAAAATGAATAAAGAAAGATCGCGATGAAGAAATCGAAAACACCAGTTTACTTTCTCGTGGTCCTTATCTGTACACGTGTATCGAGGATGAAAGAAATTGATAAATATATTATATCTTCGATCTTGCTGCACTTCCGAGTCTGGCCAGTTTGCGAACGCCTCGTTCCTTCCATACTTTCACGCGTAACCAACGAACCCGAGCTAAGAATTTTCAGCTTCTACGGATAGAACGTTTCGTTTCCCGTCGTGGAAACTCATTCGAATATTTAAGAGTCGAATGTTTGATATTAGAAGGCGGTAAACTTTGAGATTTCTCTCTCTCGATGGAAATTGCCGGCTGAGGGGAACCGGTGCAATAATCGTTCGCGTTCGCTTGCGTAACTCTGATCGAATGAACTCAGATGTGGAGAGGTAGAACTTTGGAGAAATACACTCGATTAATTTTGGTTATTATTGTTGAAAATTGGGGATTTTTTAGTGTAATAAATTTGAACATTAATGCTTCACTGAAACTTGATTTCTTAATTTATTTCCAGTGTTAAAATATCATAAGAAAATCCTCGAGCAAAACTTTACTTTGCGCTATTTTATTTTTAATCTGGCGAAATTTTTAAGCTATTAAAAGTCTCTTTCTCTATTTTTCGGAACGAGTTTCATTTTCAGAACAAAGAGGAATTGATAGAAGCAATTGCGAGCGGGTATCGAAATAAAAGTAGAAATTCGCATAAATTACGCGCGGTACCAAGGATAAAAACTTGAACAGCTCTGTTGCGAAAAAGTTGGAAAACGTATATACGATTGATCGAGAGATATTTCGTCGTTTTTAAATTCGCGTTGCTCAATACGCCTCTAATTGAACACCGCTTTACCCTAAGAAGCGGAAAGTATCGAAAAATCAGCTCTCGCGACGAAAATTGAAACAGAGCCACGGGTAAAACAGCTGTTCCTCGGTGTTCACATGTTCGACTCAGATCCAATAATAAATTAGTCCACGGTCTGCACGCGGAATAGAAAGTTTACAGAGCGGTTGGCGCGGCGAAAGACGGCGATCAGAAGCGGAGAAACCGTGTCTGAAACGCGCGCACAACGAGGAAGAAAAATCGCGAGGGCATGTCTCTGTAAAAAAAAGAAAAAGGAAAAAAGAGTGTCCTCCTGGTTCGCGTTGTCATTTCACGTGAAACCAGCCACGACGCTTCCTCCTTCCCGCTGTAATCACTCCGTTGATTAACAATCATTCCCGCGATCCTTCCTCGAGCCACGAGGATGTAATAATTCGACGCGTACGACGCTAATTGCCACGAGCTTTCATCGAGATTAAGGCATTACCACTCTCACTGACGGGAGAGAGAGAAGCCTGCTCTTCTGAAGCGCAGAAGAGGAAACGAGACACACAATTCGAACCGTAATTTCCCTCGCGTTTCCTTCTCTCTTTCTCTCCTCTATTCTTCGATCCTCCCCGTGTGTCACTTTCTTCCGACCAGAAAGACGCGAGCATCGTCCTCACGGTTGATCTCTTTTTCTCTCTCTTCTCGTCTCCGTCTGACCGGGGAAAACTGGGACAGATCGAGCGTACTTTTAATGAATAGTCGCTCGCCTCGGTTCGTTTTATCCGCTCGTAAAGTTGGTTCCGTTTCTGGCCTGGCTCTCCCCGGGAGAGGAGATCGAGACGGACGATTAGCGCGAAATTACACGGCGTGAAGGATTTAATTGGACGAATTCAAGTGATTCCGTTTCGATCTTCTTCTCTCGAGCAAAGTTCGAAGAAAAAGATTCCATCACGCTTTCCCTCCGACTGTTTCCATCGAAACAGAAGTTTCAACCGTGTATTTTAACTTCTCTTTCAATTACACGTTGTTAAAAAACTTTATACCGTTTATTCACGTCAGGATCAATGTGTTTCTTTACAGAGATGCGAAGCGAGGTAGGAGAATGGCTGCCCACCTGTGTAGGTTCACCGATATGCATCCTGCTGTTGTCCTGGTCGCTTCTGATCTATCAGAATCAACCTTCCTCGGCGAAAAGGAGGATCGACGTGTTCACGGTAGCCATTCTCGCGGAAAGTCTCGTTCACCAGCTCGGACTGCTGTTCTACGCCATTCTCACGCTGATTCAACCGATTAACCACTTCGGAGGTAACGAAAGAAACGCGATCGACGAACTGCCTCCATCGAAGAAGATCAATTTTACGAATTCCATCGTTCCTCGGTTCACAGAATTCTGCTCGGGCCTAGTCTGGATACTCAACTCCTCCAGCATCCTCCAGGAGCTAACCTTGACCTCGATCTCCATCTTCACAGCGATCAGCACCAGAGAAGAGGGCCTGAATCTCACCAAGAGTCATCTCAAGTATCATTTGGTCAGTCTGAGCGTGATCAGTGCCTGTGTCGGAGTCACCGGTGTACTAAACTTCGAACCAGATCTCTGTGTTTTCCTGGCTCAAGAGATATCGCTGAAATACGGGATCTTCGTGAACGCTTTACGATGTCTTCTGGTACTCACGTCCGTCATCAGCCTGCTTATGGCTGTGTTTCGAAGGGCGTGTCGCACACCTAAGGCGGAATTGTTGAAGTCGGTGTCCGATCTGTCGGAGACGAGCTCGAAGAATTCTTCAGGTGCGTTCGAGTGTCATCCTCAGCATTGGGATCCGTCGAGTGGATCGTGCACAAGTGGATCCACCAACAGCAGAGCTTGTTTGAGGAAGAAGAAGGTGCAGGTTGACGAGGCCAGCGGAAGGCCTACGATCTACAGTATACTCTTCGTCTGCTACTTCTTCCAGTATCTACCGATTCTGGTAAATATTTCGATTCGACGATTCAAGTAACACGTTCAAGCCTGTAGACTGTCGATTAGTAAGAGGGTTATTTCGTAATACCGACGAAATTGCAACGGATCGACGAACCGCGACGACAATGTAACACACAGGGACCGAAAGTCTAATTTATTCCCGATTATCTTTCACGCGCGATTAACAATTACACAGCTAGCTCTCTAATTCAATTCGTTCACTAAATTAACTCGCTAAATTGCTGTCTAATTACTTCCATTGATTTACCCGATACACTTTTCCATACTTTTTCTTCGTGTTCGTTGGATCGAACCCGCGTGTAGCAAGTGTGGTACCCTTGAAAACCGGAACCTAGCTCGAGTTCCCGTCCTCCGGAAGTGAACGAGTCACCGGTTGCATTCTTTTTCTCCTACACCGGAATTCCGTCCGTGGACGGGAAAGTTTGCGTTTGAAAAATCGAGGCGAACAAACGAGAATTATTGATATAAATATACAGAGTGTCTCGATTAACGTGTAAATTACTTCCGCTGCTGTTGAGAGTAAGAAAATGAAATTAATAAAAGTTTCAGATCACGCGTGTAAGTACTTGATATTTCGTCGAATCGTACTCGTGTACGAATTAGGTAGAAGAGGGACAATTTGGACGTTGGAAAGTGTGATCCTAATACGGGCGACGACCTCGTTGTCAAACTCGATTAAAATTCAATCGATGGCGAGAGAAACTCCCCTGACCTTCCTCGTTAATATTTATAATCGACTCTGTGACGTACTCCCGTATATTATCGCCGCTACACGCCGTCGTCGAATTAGGTTGCCCGAGCACGCCAGGCATCGAAGTCTCCAGGCCATTCATGGCGTTCTGCGCCGTATCCACGAAGAATTCAACCAACGCGCTAAATCAGTTTCATCAATCTCTCTTTCGTGCCACCGAGAGATTCGATCATAATCTTCTAAAAGCACGTTGCACCGATAGACGACCCCATTTTTCTCCAATGTTTTTATTCCCCCCGCTGAATAACGAAGTTACTTGGAAGATAATGATTCAGCTATGAATAAAGATATCCTTTCGTCTCGATTTCTACGCTAATTCCACCAACGCTCGATGCGTTTTTACTTTTCTCTCTCTCTCGATCTTGTTTATATCGCGCTGTCGCGAAAATTCTCCGTTCTCGAACCCGATTTGCAATTCAGACGAGAAATTTTCACGAACACGAAATACGTGTCACGAGAGTTTACACGGGGAACTCTCTCTGAAAAGAAGCGAGCGTAAAAGCGTTATGCCAGACGGAGGAAATACTCGTTTATCACGATGACCAGACGATGTTCAGACCTTGGAGATTCTGTGTAACTGTGCCTGGTAATGTAACGTTTTTATTTTTTTTTTTCTCGTTGCTCGCGTTGCACTTTCCTTTCGACACCCCGCGCGCAAAGGCAAATCGCTGTCAACCGAGTCGACCTCGATCAACGAGAAAGCCGAGATACCGCGAAGGAGGCTTGAAATCACTCGAATTCTAGGCGACGCGGACACCGTGACGCCTCGCGTTCTCCATCGTGCTACAATTAAACGCTCGTTCGGGATTCAGCGCGGGTATTCGTGTGCTCGAAATTGATTGGAGAAACTCTGCTGCTGGTGTTTCGTTGAAAAAGCAGACACGGAAAATGGTGGTACACGGTGGGAGAGAGAAAGAGCAGGGAGCTGGAAGGAGAGAAAAGATAATAGAGGAGAGACGCGCCCCTCGTTGTGGAATCGCGCGAACCGGAGCGGTGCGATTGTGCAGCACGCGTGCAACTCTGCTGCTCGTTACGTATTAAATATACGCCGCGTGCCGAAAGTACTGCACAGCCGTATTCTTCGGGCGATTCGGAGCAGAAAATCTGTTGCCGGGGATTGCGCCGCGGCTGTAATTGCGGGGATAACGAAGCCCGAGGACTGGGGGCGTGATCAGTTGGAAAAGAGCCTTTCTTTTCTTCTTTCACTTCGTGACAGAGGGACGTTGCGGAGGAGACTGGGGTATCTTGCTGGAAATGAGGGGAATTTTGGGATAGAAAGTTGAAGGGTTGGAAAATTATTCAGGTTTGCACTTGGTACCGTAATCGAATTTACAAGATTCGATCTACTTCCTCCAGAAGAAAGTTATTCAGAAAAACAAGTGTATCTTTTGGGACAATCTCGACACATGAAAGTTTAAAGGTTTGAACGAATCATCAACTTTCGTGTGTTTAGATCGTGATAGATTAAAAGACACACTTGTCTCTCTGAATTATTTTTTTTTTTTTGGAGGAAGTAGATCGAAACTTGCAAATTTGATTAAAAAATATCGAAAGATGTTACGGTACCAAGTGTAAATGTGACAGGAAGAAATCTACTCTTCCAGCGGTTACTTGAACTTTACGATAGAATTTTGTAAAGGAAAACAAGTTAACCGGCGTATTGCATAATCGATGCTCACAATGCAATCATTTATTCAACAATCCTCCACGTTTCGAGCACAAAGTAACACTCTAAAATGATTATTACCGTTTTAACGATACTCCATAGAGGATTAAATCCACTCGGCAAGTTGTTAGAAAGTATAAAATTAGAAATTACTGGGAAGAGTATCCACCATCTGCGAAAGAGACAGCAGAATACATCGTTGATCCATTTTCTCGATTTTTCTTTCCTGTGATCGTCACGCGAAGAACATCTTCGAGAAGTGAAATTTCGAAATTCTTGCCCGTTCGTATGTATGTGTATACTATATAGAAAATAGTTTCACTGTGTTGATAGAACGATATTTATGTACGTCTTTTTCGAAGTTTCCCTTTCCTCGCGCACGCATGCACGTCACGTTCTGTATTCTCTAATTAAGGGTATGCTTAGTTTTCGATTTCATATCGCGGTCGCACCCGTTACGCGCAGAATTAAAAACCACGGTAATCAACGAGCCCCCCTCGCCTTCTATCTCCTCTAGTGACCACGCGTAATTCCATGTAAATCCAGTCCGGCACGCCGCCGCCGCGATTTCCCAAGCGGCTAGAAACCTTTTCTTGCGTCGATCCTGTCATTAACTTCTGCACTGGCCGAGGGATACGAAATACGCGTGCTGAACTTTCATTGTTGCGCAACAACCGTCGCGATTTCTTGACGCTTTTTGCAAGCTGTCGAGATCTTGTTCTGCTGAACTTTTCCAGGGAAATGTCACGCGAGAGCAGAAGTTTCGCGGATCTAGAGATATTCGGATACTCGAGTTTTTTCGTGCCTTACTTTACTCGATTTGGAAGTTTGGAGCAAACGTGACTTGAGATGGAAAATTTTTCTGAATTGTAGATATTTGAATCTTGGAAAGATCCCGCAAATTTTTCAGGAATATTTGAATATTCGTTTCTTCTCGTATTTTACTTTACCCGATTTGTAAGTTTGGAGCGAATGGAACTTGAGATAAAACATTTTTTCCAGATTTGTGGATATTTGAATATCCGATTCTTTTCGTATTTTACTTTACTCGATTTGTAAGTTTGGAGCGAATGGAAGTTGAGATTGAAAATTTTTCTGCTTTGTGGATATTTGAATTTTTCAAAGATTCTTCAATTTTTTTTAGAAATATTTGAATATTCGATTCTTTTCGTAATTTACTTTACTCGATTTGTAAGTTTGGAGCGAATGGAAGTTGAGATTGAAAATTTTTCTGCTTTGTGGATATTTGAATTTTTCAACGATTCTTCAATTTTTTTTAGAAATATTTAAATATTCGTTTCTTCTCGTATTTTACTTTACTCGATTTGTAAGTTTGGAGCGAATGGAAGTTGAGATTGAAAATTTTTCTGCTTTGTGGATATTTGAATTTTTCAAAGATTCTTCAATTTTTTTTAGAAATATTTGAATATTCGATTCTTTTCGTAATTTACTTTACTCGATTTGTAAGTTTGGAGCGAATGGAAGTTGAGATTGAAAATTTTTCTGCTTTGTGGATATTTGAATTTTTCAACGATTCTTCAATTTTTTTTAGAAATATTTAAATATTCGTTTCTTCTCGTATTTTACTTTACTCGATTTGTAAGTTTGGAGCGAATGGAAGTTGAGATTGAAAATTTTTCAGGTTTATGGATACCTATTTGAATTTTTGAAAGATTCTTCAAATTTTTCAGGAATTCTTTTCGTATCTTACTTCACCCAATTTCTAACTTTCGATAAAAAAATGTTGAGGTTTGTGGACGTTTAAATTTTTCAAAGGTTCTTCGATCTTTTTGGGAGGATTTTGAATTATTCAGTTGCGAATTGAAGGATCGTGGGAAATTTTGTGAATTTTAATTTTTGTAACGTAACACGCAGTGGTTGGAACTTTGAAACAGAAAGTTTCAGGAAGTTCGTACCGAATTCTTGGTTATTTTCAAACGCAATTAAATCCTCAATTGAATCAAGAAATAGGGCATTTCGCGGAGGAATGTAATTCTGTTTCTTCTCCGCGCGTTTATTGCTACGCGCGAAAAACGCGCGGCGCGTTTTTGAAAGCGCGACCGAGCGTGGTTTTCACTGCGAAATTTTCTGCTGTCGGCTCGTTAAAATCGAAAGTATCAGCTGTTGGCCACGTAAGTGACCACGTCGCGTTTCCCTCGTTCGCTCCCTCTGAACTTCCCCTATGTTTACGCGTTCTTCTCACCGGTATTATATATCACGATCGTGAAAAATAGAGGAGCGCGCACGCGTCGCTTAGTTTATCGACGCGTTCAGCATCGAATAATTAGCGACATGCGATGCAGCTGCATTCCGCCTGGCGAAATCTCATTCCTGACACGATTTCTCGTGGAAATCATCGATCGAGGGAGTCACGGATCTTCAGTGTCCTGGGAAAAATTTCTCGAGATTGTACATGACGATAGAGACCTTGAAACTATTCCAACGGAGGTATGTGGAGTAGTAGAAATTATACCGCGATGGAAAAGCGTATGACAGAATAGAGGAAGAAATCGGAGAAGATTAATTTATCTCGCTTCGCCAATTTTAAATTCCATTCAACCTCGAATTCGTCAATGAAATTTCAATGGTTTGAGACGTGGCTTAATTAATTTTAATTTGTCTCATTTTGTCAATTTTAAATTTCTTTCAACCTCGAATTCGTCAATGAAATTTCAATGGTTTGAGACGTGGCTTAATTAATTTTAATTTGTCTCATTTTGTCAATTTTAAATTTCTTTCAACCTCGAATTCGTCAGTGAAATTTTAATTGTTTGAGACGTGGCTTAATTTATATTAATTTGTCTCGCTTTATCAATTTTAAATTCCCTTTATCCTCAAATTCGTCAATGAAATTTCAATGGTTTGAGACGTGGCTTAATTGATTTTAATTTGACTCATTTTGTCAATTTTAAGTTTCTTTCAACCTCGAATTCGTCAATGAAATTTTAATGTTTGAGACGTGGCTTAATTTATATTAATATTTTAAGTTCCTCTCACCCTCAAATCCGTCAATGAAATTTCAAGGTTTCGAGACTTTGAAACAATCCAAAATTAAACTAAAAATTCGCCGAACTAATATAAGATTAAATAAGCTACCCCCAAATGAGCCACTCAGAAGCCAAAATGATCAACTCCACATTTTCATATTCTTCTAATTTTCCAATAGTATCGAAACACCCGCTTATGCGCCTAATTTTCCATAAGTAACACAAATTTAATAAACCGTATTTGATAGAATTAGTCACTTTGTCTTCTAAGTGGTTCACGTATTCAAAAAAAAAATGTGAAAAATGAACGAACCATCGGGAGTAACAGAGAACAATCTTCTGCCCCTTCTCAGGTCATGTCCATCAAGCCAACTCTCCTCCGGGATTTCTGCACGCCCCAAAATCTAGCTACATGGCTGCCACTGGTAAAGGATACCCTGTTACCAGTGTTCCTGGCGTTGTTCGACAAAATGTTCTGCCGTTACGTGGCTAAAGTGTACACGAAACAGGATCACGCGAGGAGATTGTCACACGGTAGGTAGTTCCGACACTTTACTCGAAGATACGGATGATAACTCGTTCGTTCGAGGAGAATCTCGTCGATTAACGAATGGAAAAAATGCGACACGTTGACCCGTGTTACACTCTCGCGTGGGAAACGAACAGCAGACACATCAGACGTGTAATCGTCAAGGAGAAACATCAGTTATGCGACAAGCCGCGATCTCGCAATCATCGTAACCGCATACCGTGCGGTTAATTTCTCTTTTACTCGCGTGATTTATTTTTACCCTTTTTCCCTCCCCGTTGCAACCTTCGAGTTTACGAGCCTCGATAGCGCGGCTTTTACATTGCTTGTAACTTGATTAAACGACAGGCTTGTCTTGGGTTTCTGTCGAAAATCAACGGTGAGGCTTTTCGTTAAATTTGAGAATTGCTGATCGATCTTCGTCGACGCGAGTTTCGATGTCTCGATTAGGTGCATCGTGAACGCGTTTCCTTCACGAGGAAATGAGTAACTGTTCATTTTTCTTTTAGAAATTGTGAATGCACAATTGCATCGATTCGCTATTAACCGTTGATATTCATGAGAAAAATTTCTATTCTATAAGTTCGTGTGGAATTTTGTACTTCCCTATATTGTCTCCCCGTTTCTCAATTTCTTCCCACTTGTACTCTATTGCTCTACAAATTTTTTTAGACTTTCGCAATTAAAATATTTTTTCTTTTCGCCACGAATTTGCGCGATAAATGATATCGAATTTTATACTTTTCCACTCTTCCCTTTTTTATACCGTCAATACAAAACTTTTTTAATTTTTCCTAATTAAGATATCTTTCCCCTAAGTCGCGAATTTACGCGTTAAATGATATCAAATTTTACACTTTTCCACTCTTCCCATTTTTTATGCTACTGCTATAAAATTTCTTCAATTTTTCCTAATTAATGTACTTTTCCACTCTTCCCTTTTTCATGTAATTGCTATAAATTTTTTTTTATTTTTCATAATTAAAATTTTGTTCCTCTAAGTCACGAATTCACGCGTTAAATGATATCAAACTTTATACTTTTCCACTCTTCCCTTTTTTATGCCGTCAATATAAAGCTTCTTTAATTTTTCCTAATTAAGATACTTTTCCCCTAAGTCGCGAATTTACGCGTTGAACGATATCAAATTTTACACTTTTTCACTCTTCCCATTTTTACGCTATTGCTATCAAATTTTTCAAATATTTCATATTTAAAATATTGCTCACGAATTTACGCGATAAACGATATCAAATTTTACACTTTTCCACGCTTCCCATTTTTTATGCTACTGCTATCAAATTTTTTTTTATTTCTCATAATTAAAATTTTGTTCCTCTAAGTCACGAATTGACGCGTTAAATGATATAAAACTTCATACTTTTCCACTCTTCCCTTTTTTATGCCGTCAATATAAAATTTCTTTAATTTTTCCCCTAAGTCACGAATTCACGCGTCAAATAATATCAAACTTTATACTTTTCCACTCTTCCCTTTTTCAAGCCAGCCCCCTAATTCCCCTAACTCGCGAACTTACGCGTAAGAAGATAGTCTCATTCCCCGGATGATTTATCGAAGAGAGTAAGCGCGCGATGCAACGGTACAATACAAGTTTCACGGTGCGTTCTCTATTCGAAGGGAATTTTCGCAACGACCGAGGAGAAATTGCTCGCCCGTTTCTAGACGATTTCACGTAAAACAAAAATATCTGTTACGCTTCCCTTGCAGGCGGCATCGACGGCAAGTTTCGCCACTTCGAGCAGGACGCCGAGTACAAGCTGCAGTTGAACCTGAATCACGGTCTGAAGTTCCCCTTGACTAACGGAAGCCTCTACGGCCGGTTGCACAATCACCAGAACAGAGGCGAGTATACTAATTTCTCGACGCGTTTCTTTCATCTCCTCTTCATCCTTATTTTTTCTTTCCCCCTTCAACGCCACTTTCACGACGCGTGTACCACACTTTTACTTTATTTATCGGTGGCTAATTAACGAACGGCTGGATTGTATGGTAATAAAAGGATATCTAATTAACTCGGTGTACACTGAAATACCTCGTCGAGCGTACGTACTCGCCTCGTCTATTTATAGGAACGTGTACAGTGGTTTTGCGAACAATGGAGACGTTGTTACAACACTGATTGTTTTGCGAAAATTCCTGAATACCGGCGTTCATCGGAACACGTTATTTCCGAAGGATACACCTTAACACTAGCTTTTGCGGACACTTCTTACCCTCGTCCGTCCCTCGTGCCAATTTGACAATTTCTATATTTAATAAAAGAATTTACAAAATTAATTATTCACCTTTTCGTTTAATTGATTTGTCACCATTGTGCCAAATCGACACCGAGGGACCTATTAAGATGCGAAACTGAGGGACGGATGAGGGTTAAAAAACAGCTTATTTTATTTAAAGACAACATATTACACGCTGTTAACTTAGAAACGAAACTACTTGATATTGTGTATTTATACGAAATTTGTAATAAGTATAAGTGGTAGGAGAGAAATGTAATTTTCCTTGTGAATTTGGAAATGCGTGAAAATGACGCGTAAACCTAGTGTTTCAACTGACAAGGGGAAAAGAAGTTTCCTATCCGTGGATTTTCTAAAGAGGTCATTTCGTTAGGTACTTCGCGACCGAGCTCGCTCTGAATTTTTGATCACGACCCGGTTAACACGCGCTAGGAATTTCGTGGGACGATAATCTTCCGCCGATAGAAAGTGGCGAAGTGTGCCGTTTCCCTTCGCGAACGATACCACGGAGTAGCTTGAATTATGGGCCACTGTTCAAGTAGAAAATCGATATCCTCCGTCGCGTAATCTGTGATTTCACCACGCATGATGTCGCGTGTGTCCTTCAAAGTGGACAGCTTTGCTTGTCAAAGTGGACAATACCTTGATTACTTTACTTACAAACCTACCTGTCGTTCGTAACGAAGAACGTTCTCCTTTAAATTCTTCTGAAAATCAATTTTGCAACTCTTTACTCCTTGAATCCCTCTGAAAATCAATTTTGCAACTCTTATCTAGCTTCTCAGCTTTCTTCTCACGGATTAAAAATCTCTTTACTCCTTAAATCCTTCTGAAAATCAATTTTACAACTCTTTACTCCTTGAATTCCTCTGAAAATCAATTTTACAACTCTTTACTCCTTGAATTCCTCTGAAAATCAATTTTGCAACTCTTATCTAGCTTCTCAGCTTTCTTTTTACCGATTAAAAATCTCTAGCTCTTTAAATCCCTCTGAAAATCCATTTTACAACTCTTTACTCCTTGAATCCCTCTGAAAATCAATTTTCCAACCCTTCCCTAGCTCCTCAGCTTTCTTCTCACGGATTAAAAATCTCTTTACTCCTTAGATTCCTTTGAAAATGAATTTTGCAACCCTTCCCTACCTCCTCAACTTTCTTCTCACGGATTAAAAATCTCTTTACCTCTTTAAATCCTTCTGAAAATCAATTTTCTGTCTCTTTACTCCTTAAATCACTCCGAGAATCAATTTTCCAACCCTTCCCTAGCTCCTCAGCTTCCTTCTCTCTAATTAAAAATTCACGAATTAAAAATTCACAATAAAATCACTTTACAGGGAAGACTGGTACCATCACAATGGGAATACAACACTATCCAAGAACGCAGTCCCTGAACGAAGATGGCAACTACGTTTCCCTGCCAGCAGAGCTCTCTTCATTCACGAGTTCCACGTTCGAACCGCGTCAGAACATCGACGCAGTCGATTCCGCCAAGAAACCCACCGTAGATCAACAAAACAAACGTCCAAGACCTAACGAAACTTTCCAAGAGCTAGCTGTGAATCGTCGAAAGATAGGAAGCACCGACGTGTTCGGTCAGAACATGGAGAATCTCGTCCAGCTCGAGGATCCGTCGTGCAAGCGAAAATTCACGAAGAGCTTGGACGAGATTCGCGAGGAAACGCCGAGAAGACACGCGAGAAGCGTGCTCGGCCTGGAGAATTTGATCACAGGTTTGGATAGCAATCTGCAGGAACAGCCACGATGTCCTAGAGTCGCTCTGCGTAGGAACCAGAGCTTCGATCACGCTAGATGCCAATCGTGAGCAAAATAGATTGTGTTATTATCGAGGATTCGAGGATCTTGCACGAGGTTCGAGTAGTCGATTATCGTTGCATCGATAGTGATCGAGGTGGACGTGGTTTACAGGTACCATCGACCGATACTCGACTCGAGGACGTACGATTTGAAGAAGCAAGAGCAGAGGAAGGAGGTACAGAGCGAGGAGAGACGGGAGAACCAGGAGGAGGGAGACGGATACGAGACATCGGACGACGAGAGCTGCGATCTGGAGAACGGCGACTTCGACACGATGAGCTCTTGCAGAAGTCGCAGCAGAAGCTGCTGCTCGGTGACCACCGTGGCCAACGATGATTTCGAATACTTTCAACGTAAGGGAACTAAGGTAACATTCGTGGCACCCTTTCATACTCGCTAGAGTCTTTTGTAGTTTAGCGTCTTCTCGATTTTTTTTCTTACCTTTCGTTCGATTCGTAGACGCATCGTCGTATTCGTACGCTTTACTTGTAAATTGCCTGCAATAGAAAACACCGAGTAAATATGAAGCGTAGGAAAATTCGACTTTTATTTAAAAAAAATATCGATACATTCTCCGTTGTCTTCGACGACATTTCTCCGTCTTCCGGAAGATACGCGAATTCCACCGCGTTGAAAACGGCGTGAACAGCTCGAAGATCGCGAGGATATCTGAATTTGTAGATAATTTCAATCGAACTTCCTCCTACACCTGATATTTACGATCGTCGGATCGGTAGATCGATGAAGAAAGGCGCGAAGAGAGCACAGGAATTACTCCATCGAGGACATGATTGGCCTTTCAGCTATGTTTGCGTAATGGTGGATCGTGAGAACGCGCTGTTTTACAGGTGGAGCTGCTGCCCTCGAAGAGAGCCGGCGAGGTAAAGGTCAGCATGCGATCTTTCACGCCGAGGATCATCGAGAACGCGACGGACGAGGAGAGGAGGAAGAATCCGATCGACACGAAGCCGATCATACAGTCGTATCACTTGAAGAAAAAACGAATTGGTCCAGGTTACTCGATGAACGATCTCGACAAGTTAACCTCAGAGCGGAAATTGCCGGATTTGTCGATCGACAGCCTGAAGAGTATATTAAGGAGCACGGATGTCAGTTACCTGGACAACGGGGACATTTGCAGGCACGACATTGGCGGGTCCGTGCCGGATTTTAAGAAGATTTTCATCACCGAATTCATATGAGATGCGAACGATGAGAATTTGCAATTCTTGTTTGCTTTGTTGTTCTTTTTTTCTTTTTTTTTTTCTTTTTTTTTTTCTTTTTTTTGGAAAAGAAATTAGGTCCAGGCCGATAAAGATGATTCCTTCTTTCTGCTAGAAGGGTAGGATCGAATCGCTGTGCTTTTCCTTTTTGTTTCGACGTTAGAATGACGGAAGGTATTGTACAAAGTGTTCATTGTATAAATAAGAAGCTAGGCTGAAGCTTGTACAGAGAAGAAACTAACGCATAGGAGATTTGGTACAAGAAGCAATGGAAAGACTGTACAAAGTGTTCTTTCGCAATAAAACGTTCTTTCTTCTAGGTAACATTACACACGGATTTATACTTGTTTCTCTCTGACAAGATTGTATAGAGTCCTTTCTTCTTCTTCTTCTTTTTCGTACTGTATATACAAAGTTTATTCCGTTCGATTCTTGGGTGAAATCTACCGCGCCCGTGATCTAGAAAATTGAATCGAATTGGAAAGTTCGCAAGAGCGTAATCGGTCTCTGGTTAAAGAAGCTGTTAATTAATTCGATCCTCAGCTTCGCATTTTCTTCGTCGTTTTCTTTGTCAATTTTCTCCAAGTCTCGACGACGGTCTAACAACGTTGAATAAAACTTCGATCGAAGAAGCTGAACCGGCGAAAGGGGCGGCAAAGATTAGCTCGAACCGGTAAATCCTTGTTTAAACAGAACGATACATTACGCCGCCTCATCTGTCCATAAATCACGAGCCGGTTGACGTAATAAGTTATGAGTCTGGGATCGAAATTGCAGTGGAACTGAGTTACGATCCGCGTAAACGCGAGACCTCTAAACAGGAATGCGAACGGTGTAAAATATGTTGTAAAATGTCTGCTCCTATTGTTTCCACGGTTACGTAAATGTGAGCATTTTAGAAAACCGCGTTCTTACGTTTACGGTACATTGTATGGAGATCGTTTCTCTTCTTCCTCTCCTCTTTTTTTTTTTTTTTTTTTTTTTTTTTTTTATTTTTTTTAAATTACTATTTAATTCATTAAATATACACTCGTCCTGATTAATTCCCTCGTGAAAAACGAAGTGTGATTCTTCTTTATTAAGGGGGTCTTTTAGTGTGACGGCCGTTTTTGCTAATTTATTACAGAAGTACTTGTCCTTGAAGAATCATGGCAAATTTCTTTTGTTGAAAAATAGTTAAATACGGCTGCTGTGGATCACGTCAAACGAGCATGAAAAAAAGGTCCTGCTTTCCAATTGATTCTTGTTTAGTATGCGTGTCGCTATGGTCGGTAGTAGAATAAAAGAAAGATATTGAAAATTGAAAAAATGGCGGCACTTTGAATACGAAGTATCGATTTTTTCGACTTTTCTTCGTCTTTCAGAGGCTCTAAATATCAGAAAAATGTATATTTTGGCATAATTCTTCTACCGACCATAGCCGCACATGTTCTGAAGACATGTGCAAAATTTGAGTTGGATTGGTTCAGTAGTTTTAGAAAGCATGGTTCCGAGAAAAACGCGTTTATAATTTTGAGCACAATTTACATTCTCCCTTGATGTGTCACACTAAACGAGCTATAACTTCGTCATTTTATTAAATACAACTATAAAACTTCAGGAGTACATTCTTAAAGAGTTGTACTTTCGGTATATGCAAAGAAATAAAAATCGATTTTTTGAAACCGTCACACTAGAAGACCCCCTTAACCCTAGAGCGGTCTTCGGGTCTTTTTTGACCCACCGCCTTTTTATATTTTTAGTCATAATTTTTTGAAACCGCCACACTAGAAGACCCCCTTAACCCTAGAACGGTCTTCGGGTCTTTTTTGACCCACCGCCTTTTTATATTTTTAGTCATTTTTGCTGTTGTCAAGTTTACGTTCCTTAACATTGCTTTAAACGTTTATTGTCTAGGTTCGTATGTCGCGTTGGAAGCAAAAATTATTACACATAAGGTCTTAGGTCCTTTTTCACCCAAAAGTCAAAGCGAACACCGCTCTAGGGTTAAGCCCTTTGACTCGAACGTTTAGTAATAACATTAACGATAACACTGTACTCGTAGAATAAATTATTCAGCCGTCAAAGAGTTGAAATAGAAAAAAAGAAAATTAATTCGTTAATGTAAATCGTGATATTGAAATGATCACGCATAGATCGAGTTTGTCGTAAAGAAAAATATTTATTCGTTTGTTCTGTTACAAAAAAAAAAAAAATATGAGTCGCGATAAAAATCGCCGATAAATATTCCTCGCTTATAAACTAGCGATCGAATCTCCTCGTAAATGAAACTGTATAATTATAACTACGTATCACGTGCACCGAGAGTATATTATCGAGTATGTTGGTAGCTTTTTTCCTTCCCCTCGGCGGAACACGCGAGGAGAAAGAGCTCGTTGCATGGAGATTACGTGCACGCCCTCCGATAGGCCCTAATCGTCGCTTAATTATCTAATTAAATTGTATGCTGCGTTTTATTACGCTCGCGTTGACTAGCAATACACGGTTTGGCATCGTTAATCGTATCTCTAATTATGCTCGTCAGTGGCGTAGAAACTGGTTGTCGTCCCTCGTCTCTCCTCTTCCTCGTCCTTCTATCTCGAGGAGTACGATAAAGGAAACGTACGAATTACGCGATAACATCTGTGAACTGGCGGAATGTGGCTGATTAGACGAGAAGGAAAAACGAGCTGTCAGAAACGTCGATCGAATTCGTTTTTTACAAGTGTCACGATCGTGTAATACGAAATGTCGGAATTCTAATCACGAGTCGATCAGTCGAGACTGTTGAAAAATTCCGCGATCTGATAGATCTTTGAACGCGTGTGTAGGTGTTCCCTCGATTACTTGTAAGATATCTAATGTACGGTAACCGCAGATATGGTTAGAGAGTGTTTAGGGGATGTTTGTGCAGTTATGAAATTTAAAAGAAAAATCTGCCAAATACACGGGAGAGTAACGTTACAATCTTACCGAACTGCATTTATGGTACAATTGTCTGTAGATTAGCGTTGCTCGGTGGTTGTATCTGGAGAAATTGTACGGTAACTCTACGGGTATTTTAATATGTTACAATTGCATAAACATCCGCAGTCTAAAGATAACACATCTAACGAGTGACTAATTAATGCACCGTCACGTAACGTTGCAATTGCTGACAGAGAGCGTTGAAACGTGTTAATCAGCATTTGTGAGTGACCAGTTGAGTAATTTCTATCTTGGTTCTACGCCACTGTGCGTGTGTATGTATATATCTACTTATACATATATAAATAGGAATTCGCTGGCTTTGGTAAAAAGAAATGAAGTGATTGCAAAGGTGGATCAACGTGGTAGGATTGATCAATGGTGAAAGAGATCATCAGTGGCTCGCGTAGACGAGATCGTTTCCACGAAAGATTGCTTCGATCATCGACTTCCGGTTGAACTTTCCGCCCCTGGACTCGACGATCGCCACCAGTTGCTGATATCGCTTCCAGGCGGTCACCGAGGCCGCTTCCCCTTCCGGTGCGTTCTTAATCTTCTGGTACACGTCCGTGCTCCTGACCGCAGCCTCGGAAGTCTGACAGACGTTCTCTGTATCCGGTATCATCTGAAATTTTTATGCAAACTTTTTTTTCACTTATTTTATGTTTTATATTTTGAAAAATGTGACTTTGGCGCGGAATTATTATTCAGACCTTGATTCGGGGGATCAGTTTCTTATTTATGTGTCTTTGGCAGCGAAGAGTGTTGATTTATGCACAATTATTTTTTACTCATTTTTATATTTGTTTACATTATCATAGGTGTGCTTAACTTAATTTAAATTTTGAAAAACGTTACTTTGGCGGGGAATTATCATTGAGACCTCGGCTCGAGGGATCAATTTTTTACTTATGTGTTTTTGAAAATAGAGGGTGGTGATTTGTAAAAAATTATTTTTCACTCATTTTTATATTTGTTTACATTATCATAGGTGTGCTTAACTTAATTTAAATTTTGAAAAACGTTACTTTGGCGGGGAATTATCACTGAGACCTCGGCTCGAAGGATCAATTTTTTACTTATGTGTTTTTGAAAATAGAGAGTGGTGATTTGTAAAAAATTATTTTTCACTCATTTTTATATTTGTTTACATTATCATAGGTGTGCTTAACGTAATTTAAATTTTGAAAAACGTTACTTTGGCGGGGAATTATCACTGAGACCTCGGCTCGAGGGATCAATTTTTTACTTATGTGTTTTTGAAAGCGAAGGGTGTTGATTTATATTTCTTTAATACCGAGGATCTCTGGAATTTTCATTTTCCCTTTGTACAAGGAGGATTTAAACTAAATAAATTTGAATTTTCGCAATTGCGAAAACAAGAGAACGAAGATTACCGCGTTAGTTTTGTCGGAGTTAAACATCGCTACAATCCTCCTGAAAGACGCTTAATTCCGCAAAGTCGCTCGATAACGTTCAAAACATTCAGCGGAAAATGCATCCGTGATTAAACGTTGCTAAAAGTGCAAGGCACCCCCGTTTTCTCCTTCGTTCTTTGTCTTCATTGAAGGTTCCATTTTTAAGAGAGTAGAGAGAGCGTCCCCTTCTTTAAACCATTCGTGAAAGCTCGCTGAGCTCCATTTGCTAAATTGTGCAAGCTCTTCGTCCTCCCCTGGCAATTGTACCATCACCAGAGAAAAGAAGGGAAAACTAAATCCATCCGGTCTTGTTCCTTTCCATCTCGACTCCAATTAAAATTCACTTTTATTCACGAAACACCAATCCGCCAATTGTGTTTGTCTCTCGAATTTAACCGGTTAATCCAAGAAAATCCTTGCCTATTCTCTCGCCTCCATTCTCCTTCGTACCACTGCCGTTCTTTTTTCTCTAAGAACAACCTGAGACACGTTGTAATTCCACCTTAAATCGATCGCTGTTTTTCTCGTTCGACACTGAACACTTTAATGTTTGTGCAGAAAAGATATGATATCTCTTGAACAAGTGGCTGAATATTTATATCGTTAAAAATGGTCGCAAGCACAATGTAAAATTTTCCGTTTCACAAGAATTATTTTATTTGATTTCGTAAAAGTGCGTGTTTCTACAAAACTCGTAAATATTGCGGCGCTTTAAGCCAAGTTACCAACAAAATAGCCGGCGCTTTATGCGCCTTTAAGCTTTAAGTTCCGCGTCCAGGCGTTTTTCAGCAAGTGTCGTTACCATTTTGCCAAATACGTAAAAATGATATATTTTTCAGCTGAGAATTTATTTATTCTGACTGTTTCAGAGGTCGGCAAGTTCCCGCCAAGCATTCTTAAAGTGCCCGTCACTGTGCCAGATATTTCTACAAAATCGTTTCAAAAGATGATCGCGCGTAAGATGAACCAATAGAATGTTGTATTAATAAATTCATTTAAAATACACATGTATCGAATGTACAATACTGTTTCGAAGATTTTAAGTTAAAAATGAAACTCAACCTTCGGAGTTATAAATATAAATCTTAATTTCCTACTTTTTAGGTAAATGATTTTTTTCTGCAAATTACTTTAAGGCGAATTGCCCTTTATCGCAAGCCAGCCATTCGGTGTGCCCTTTTTAATCAAAAGGTTGCCGACCTCTGCTATACAACAAACAGGTAACTTCATCGATGTTGAACATATCCAAGAATTCCTGCATATAAAGAGAATTTAAAGAGAGTTTTGCTCTGGTATACCAGGTACGATCTCTGTAATTTCACTGTAGAACAAACCAGTAACTTTATCAATACCGTGGGGCCCCGGACTTACGTAGTAATTGGTTCCAGAGTGGGCGACGTAAGTCGAAAAAGACGTACATAAGTCGGGGTACACAATACATATGTATGTATGCAAACATATACATATATACTTCACCGGCCAAAAGTTTGGAATCACCGAGCATTGCAATTTTCACAAAAATGTCCAGAAAAGAGTCAGCGACTTTGAGAATTTTTTTATCGTTCGAATCAATCGATATGAGATAAATTGATAAATGTAGAATTGAGATAAACTTCAAGTCTATAAAAACTTAGCAGCAGGTTTAACCCTTTGCAATCGAGTGGCGACTGAGAAGCGACATTAATTGTCACTTGGTAAATAACGAATCAAGACAGAGAACAGATCTATGGGCCTCCGTGAATTTGTTCACCATAGTGAAATAGAGAATACACTGAATATTTAAATAAAATCGCACAGTTTATTTCTGCGTTAGTTTGAAAAAATTTCAAAGAAGATCACCTCCAAGTGCAAAGGGTTAATATTGACGAAAGGTGATTCCAAACTTTTGGCCGGTAGTGTACATGTATTTATCAAGGGGTTACGTTTTCTTTGAAATTTATAAAAATGATAGAAGGGATCACATTTAAAGTTTCGAGTAACTTCTGGATCGTGACACGTGGATCGTGAAATATCGGTTAAAAACAATTGGGAGGACGCAACTCGTGGCCCTACTGTATCGAAAATACCCAAGAATTGTTGCCAAGAAACGAGAGGGTTCAGGTATGTACCGAAAATGGTACACGTGTCGCGCAACGCGTATGAAAGAGAATTTTGCTCCGGTGATACCGAGTCCGACCTCTGTGATTTCACTGGACGAGGTGGTAGAAAAGCAACTGTTTAATCAGCAGGCCTCGATCTGCTTTTGCCACGTTTGTGCCTACGATTGACCGATGTTTGTAGGACGCCGTGTATACACGTGTAACACAAGCCTAAAGGCAACCCCCCTCGAAATCAATACTCGGCATTACACTGTTACTAAGGATTCCCATCCCCCATCGCCAGATTCACCACCCTCGGTGCCAGCCAGCGGGTTCAATGGCCAAAATACGGGGCTAAAGCGGGCCGCGTTACACTTTGGATAGCTAGCAAACGGCACACGCTCGCCTCGATTGTGTCCCAAACTCCCTCCCTCTCACCCCAAACCAACCCCCTTTTCATCTATTTTTCCAGCATTCACACGGCACGAGTCGATTGCGCGGAAAACGCTGAAAGCGAATTGCTTTATCTGCACGCTCAACAGTCGCAGCTTTTTTTTTTAAACAGCGTTTCGATGTTTTTTTTTCCACGGAGTAGAGTAGAGAGGTTATTTGGTTGGAGAACAGAGAGAGAGAGATTTCTGTTTGTTCGATCTTTTGCTGTATTTCGGGGTTTTTTTTGTTTTGGTTCGCAATTTTGACGTTTGTCTGGATTGTCGAAGAGGAATTATTTTCCACAATTAATTTTGGCGGGAGAAGGGAAGGAGAGAGATCAAGGTTGAGAAGATTTTTAATCGGTTTTTTTTTTAGGATTGTTTCGTTTTAAATGACGAAGACTTTCCTCGAGAATTCTATCACACTGATTTGTGATATCTTGATGAAATTAATTTTGAGAAGAGAATGCAAGGAGAAGAGGGATCAAGCTTGAGGGGATGCTTAATTTCATTTCGTTTTAAATGGCGAAGACTTTCCTCGAGAATTCTATCACACTGATTTGTGATATCCTGGTGAAATTAGTTTTGAGAAGAGAATGCAAGAAGAAGAGGGATCCAGCTTGAAAAGATTCTTTAACTTCATTTCGGTTTAAATGGCGAAGACTTTCCTCGTGAAATCTATCACACTGATTTGTGATATCCTGGTGAAATTAGTTTTGAGAAGAGAATGCAAAAAGAAGAGGGATCTAGCTTGAGAAGAATCCTAATTTCCTTTCGTTTTAAATGGCGAAGACTTTCCTTGTGAAATCTATCATACTGATTTATCATATCGTGATGAAATTAATTTTGAGAAGAGGGATCAAGCTTGAGAAGATTCTTAATTTCATTTCGGTATAAAAAGCAAAGACATTCCTCGTGAAATCACCGATTTGTGATGTCGTGATGAAATTAATTTTGACGAGAGAATGCAAGGAGAAGAGAGATCAAACTTGAGAAGATTCTTAATCGTTTTTTTTTTTTTTTTAATACGATTATTCTACTTTAAATGGCAAAGATGGAAAAATGAAATTGGTCACACTGATCTGTGATATCGCGATGAAATTAATTTTGAGAAGAGAATGCAAAAAGAAGAGGGATCAAGCTTGAGAAGATTCTTAACTTTGTTTATGTACGATTCTTTCATTTCAAACGAAATGAATTTTGAGAAGAGGACAATCGTTTATTTTTCCGTGCACGATTCTTTCGTTGGAAATGACAAAGACGTAAGAATTTGATAGTTGGAAGAAGTAGCTGTTTTATACCGGAAATATTGACAGTTTTCATCCAGCCGGTCAATAAGAGCGAACAATAATTCGGACGAGCTCGTAACGCGGGAATTGCCGCTTTTATAGCTGGAAAAAAGTTTACCCGAGCTCGCTCCTCTATTTACGTTGGAGAAGTTTAAGCTACGGGAGGAAGAGTTCCCGAAAGACTTCGGGGCAGCCACTTGAACTTTTTCCGCTTCCGTTCCTCCGGCAACGATAAACATTTATCTTCTTCGAAAATTCGCAGACGTGAACGAGCTTAAGTTCTTCTATTTTCGACGAGTTTCGCCGTGTTATTACTAAGCTTGACGACCGTGGAACAAACTACCAATGGGACATTGATTGCGAGAATTTCTTTTCCAACGACTTTTGTCTGACGTTAAAGTTTAGAACG